CTGTGACTTCTGACAGATCAACTAATCTTTTAAATAAAACTGCCTTCTTCCAAGCAAAGTGATTATAAATAATGAGAAGAATTAGAACCTCCCCCCCCCCCCCCAAAAAAAGATGATCTTGGAATGGTTTTTATTATATAACCACATGTAATTTTTGCTTCACTCTTGAGGAGTATGAACAATTATGTTGTCTCATTAGACGCTTCCTATCATTGAGGAGGAAATACATATTTTTTTTTATTGCTCTTTTACTAAAAGTAAAAAAAAAAAGCCAAGATGGTTAAGTGTGATAGCTGGTGAAGTTGAACATCCCTGAGTGACAGACTCCCTAGGAAAGAGAGTTCATCTGCCTCTAGCCTGGAGGGCCTGTTCTCACATCCAACTGCATGATGGACATGGCTGTTGCTCATGTTGTAAAGCAGCTGTCCAAAATGCCTCCGTCTCTGGATTTCTCACGGGCTTTGTCTTGCAGGGTTCAGTTTAGTTAACATTTTCTTGGTAAGGTGAGGTCTAAATGGAAAAAAAAATTCACCAGAATGATAGCTGTTTAAAGTGGGAACATAGAAATGATGGACTTGGCAAGAGCACTGGTTTAGTAGTTAGGACACAGGACTGCTACCACCCAAGTTCCTGAGCAGGTCATGTGACCAAGCATCACTGTCTTCCCCTGGGACATTAGAGAGAGTTTTGGGTCCATAGGAGTGTTGCACTTGGCTTAACCAGATGAGATTCTGAAAAAGGAGGGGTAAATAGAGTTTTAATCAAAACAATCCTTTAAAATATTCTGATTAAACTTGCTACATAGAGATTCTTTGAGAGGTAAAACATTTTTTGATTAAACTGATGCATTGTTTTTGGATCAATCTGGCTGTTTGTAAATTGGATTTTCTAAGAGGAGAATTGTAAGGGGAAACTGTTTTTCTCTTCTACTCTCCATACTTTTGACACCGGATAAGTGGTCGTCCCCCCCCCCCCCCCCACACACACACATCAAGTAATTCTCTAGTTCTCAGCTGACACCAACTGGGTGTTCACAAACTTAACTCTTAAGCTATCTGTTATGGGGATAAGAATCAGATCCCAAAAGGTAAGAACTCAGTCCCACAAGACTGCCCTTACTTCAGATGCCAATACAAGTCCTGATCGAAAATCTCGGTCACCTGCACTTCTGACCAACCAGCTGTAAATTGGGGGTTTCCACAATCCTCACCTTGAGTCTGATAATCTGTTAGAATGACTCACAAAGCTCAGGAAAACATTACTTACACTTGCCAGTTTATTATAAAGGATATTAAAAGGGATACTGATAAACAGGCAGATGAAGAGTTATATGTAACTACTTCAAGTTGGAAGGGACCTGATGTAGGGTCTGTCACCTTCCAAGAACTTGGATTCCTTCCCTAATCTACAGGTTCTCTCCTTGTTCGAGAATTTTTATAGGTCTTAATCTCTGTGTTTGACACGCTCTCTGCCCCCACTCCCATTCCCACCTAGGCCTGAAAGTTCCAACCTTCATCTTTTTCCCCCGCAACCTTCTAATCATTTGGTCTTTCTGGTAACCAGCCCCAAGCTCCATTCTGAGGCTAAGTCACCTCATCAGCATAAACTGTAGTGCTTTCAAAGGGGCTCCTTATGAATAACTTTTAAAAGACACTCTATCACTTTGGAACTTGCAAGGATTTTAGGAGGTCTATGCCAGGAACCAGGACACAGACCAAATATATTTCTTGTTGTATTACAAGGATGTACCAGTATGGTCTGGGACTCAGAGTTGTTGATAGATAAGTGGATTTGGGGAAGGCCGATGACTATCTTATTTAATAAAAGAGAAACATACAAATTGACCGTACCTCTGCTACACTCACAAGCCATGCCCACAAGCCAATTGGGAGCGAGTATGCAAATAAACCCACCCAAGATGGCGGCAGCCACGGAGCTGGAGCGAACAAGCTTGGGTTGCCCCTGGCGATGGAGGAAGCCAAGCTTCCTGCCTGCCCTGGTCAGCTGTGGGCTCCGCTCAAGGCTACAAAGTTTCAATTATAGAAGATAAATAAATCCCAGATACCTGCTTCCAGGCGCTGTGGCATCTGCTTAAGGAGGGTCTGGGAGCCTGGGTTGCCCGGGGCTGTGGCCAGCCTGCAAACAGCCCTCCGCCCCTCACCCAGGCTGGCCAGGCACCCCAGCGTGGACCCCCACCCTGGAGAGGGTATGGCCAGCTTGAAAACATCCATCAGCCCCTCACCCAGGCTGGCCACGCCCTCCCTCAGCGAGGACCCTCACCCCATGGGGGTGTGGCCGGCCTGCAAACCACCACAGGCCCCTCGCCCAGGCCGCCCCATGCCCCAAGGGAACCCCACCCTGATCCGGGACACCCTTCAGGGCAAACCAGCTGGCCCCGACCCGTGCACCAGGCCTGTATCTATACTAATAAAAGGGTAATATGCTAATTAGACTGGGAGACCTTCCAGGAGACCTGGACATTCTTCTGGTCAAAACCATGGTGGCGGGGCTGAGGTAGAGGCGGTTAGAGGCCAAGAGGGGAGGGCAGTTGTGGGTGATCAGGCTGGTGGGGGCGGGGGCTGTTGGGGGTAAGCAGACCAGCAGGGGGGCCAGTTGGGGGCAAGCAGACCATCAGTGGGGGTCAGTTGGAGGTGATCAGGACAGCGGGGGGGGGGGCAGTTGGGGGTGAGCAGGCCAGTGGGAAGGAAGGTGGGGTGAGCAGGCTGGCAGGCAGAGTGGTTAGGGGCAATCAGGCAGGCAGGCAGGTGAGCGGTTAGGAGCCAGTAGTCCCAGATTGCGAGAGGGATGTCCAGCTGCCGGTTTAGGCCCAATCCCTGTAAACCGGCAGTAGGACATCCTTCGAGGGGGTCCCAGATTGGAGAGGGTGCAGGCCGAGCTGAGGAACACCCCCTCCCCCGTGCACGAATTTCATGCACCAGGCCACTAGTCCTAATGATAAGTGTAGATTGAATATTGCCCTGTTACTTGGGAACCTGCCCTCTGTGCCTCTATTGATTGTGAAAGTTTGCTCCCTTGTTATGATTATTAATTGCCTAAACAAGATGCTAATCTTTTTTAAAAATATATTTTATTGATTTTTTTTACAGAGAGGAAGGGAAAGGGATAGTTAGAAACATCGATAAGAGAGAAACATTGATCAGCTGCCTCCTGTACACCCCCTACTGGGGATGTGCCCGCAACCAAGGTACATGCCCTTGACTGGAATCGAACCTGGGACCCTTCAGTCCATAGGCTGATGCTCTATCCACTGAGCTAAACCAGTTAGGGCAAGATGCTAATCTTTTAAAGACAAATGCCAAGAATCCTAATAGTCTGTGTTCAGATCTGCTGTTGCTTGGAAGCTGGTAGAATGCTATTCTAGATGGAACTATGCACCATCTTTTTATTTTTTTAATTAAACTTTTTGTTTTTAGATAACTGCACATTGTCACGCAGTTATCATAAATAATACAGAGAGAGCTGTCTGCACTTTATCCCATTTCCCCCAGTGGTAACATCTGGAAAGACTATAGTAACAATATTATAACCAGGATATTGACATTGATAAGAGTGAAGATATTTAACATTTCCATCACCAAAAGGATTCCTCATGTTGCCCTTTTATAGCCACTCATTTCCCTCCTTTTCCCACCCATTTCTTCCACCTTCAAGATCACGAAACTATTCTCCATTCCTATAATTTTGTCATTTATTTTCTTTTTTTTAAAAAAATATATTTTTATTAATTTTAGAGAGGAAGGAAGAGGGAGTGAGAGTTAGAAACGTCAATGATGAGAGAATCACTGATCGGCTGCCTCCTGCACGCCCCCCACTGGGGATCGAGCCTGCAACCCAGGCGTGTGCTCTTGACTGGAATTGAACCTGAGACCCTTCAGTCCACAGGTGACGCTCTATCCATCGAGCTAAACCGGCTAGGGCAGTCTTTTATTTTCTAAATAGAATTATACAGTAAGCAACTTTTTGTGGTTGACTTTTTTCTCTCAGTATGATTCTCTGGAGATTTATCCAAACAAAAAAATTTTTTTTAACCAAGTTTGTTCCTTTTTATTGCTGAATAGCATTCCATTGTATGAAAGTAGCACAGCTGTTTTTTTTAATCATTCACTTGTTGAAGGACATCTGTATTGTTTCCATTGTTTTTTTTTTTTTGCTATTCTGAATAATGCTGCTAAAAATTTTTTTTTAAAATATATTTTATTGATTTTTTACAGAGAGGAAGGGAGAGAGATAGAGAGTTAGAAACATCGATGAGGGAGAAACATCGATTCAGCTGCCTCCTGCACATTTCCCACTGGGGATGTGCCCACAACCAAGGTACATGCCCATGACCGGAATCAAACCTGGGACCCTTCAGTCTGCAGGCCAACGCTCTATCCACTGAGCCAAACCAGTTAGGGCTGCTTATAGGTTTTTATGTGGACATAAGTCCTTTCTCTGGGATAAATGTCCAGGAGTCTAATTGCTGGGTTGTGTGATAGTTTATATGCTTAGGAAACTGACAAGCTGTTTTTCAGTGTGGCCTTACTATTTTATATTTCCAGCAACAATATGTGAGTGACTCAATTTCTCTACATGCTTGCCAACACTTAGTGTTGTTACTATTTTAATTTTTTGAATTTTTAGGAGTTTATTTGAGCCAAACTGATGATAACTGCTGGGAAGGAAACTCTAAATGGGGGGAGAAAATGCTCCTGTGTTGTCACTAATTTTAATTTTAGCCATTTTGATAAGTGTGTGGTACTATCTTGTAGCTTAATTTGCATATTCCTAATGGCTAATGATGTTGAACATCTTTCCATGAGCTTAGTTACCATCAATATAGCCTCTAGTGAAATGCCTTTTGCCAGTTTTCTAGTAGGATTGTTTGTTTTTACTGTTACGTTTTCAGATTGCTTTTCATATTCTAGTTCTTTGTCAGATATATGTGGTTTGCTGATATTTTATCCAACTCCAGAGCTTGTCTTTTCATTCTCTTTTGCAGAGGAAAATATTGTAATTTTAATGAAATGGAATTCATTGAAATTTTCTTTTATTGCCTGTGCTTTGGAATCAAGTCTAAGAACTCTTTGCCTCATCCTAGATCCTGTAAGTTACTTTTTGTATGAGGTTTAAAACTTAAAACGAGGTTCATTTTTTTCATAAAAATGTCTGACTACTCCAGTACCATTTGGAAAAACATCCTCAAGGATCTTAGAGGGAAATGTCCAGTATTTTGCCACTAAGTATAAGATTAACTATATATTTTTTAGATGCCATTATCAAGTTGAAGTTTTCTATTCCCATTTTTGTTGTTGTTTTGTTAATCATCACTTGAGGATCTTTTCCCATTGATTTTTAGAGAGAGTGGAACGGAGGGGGAGAGACAGAGAGAAACATCGTTGTGAGAGAGACACATCCATTAGTTGCCTCCTGCATGCACCCTGACCTGGGCCAGGGATCCTCACACATGTGCCTGGACCTAGGCCAGGCATGTGCCCTTGACCGGATTCAAACCTGAGACCCTTCAGTTGAGGGCCAACACTCTATCCACTGAGCCAAATAGGCTAGGGCTACTCCTAGTTTTTGAAGAGGTTTTTTTTAAAAATTGTGATTGAATATTGTTTTTTTGTCAAATGCTTCTTCTGCACCAATTGATGCAATCATGTAATTTTTCTTCTTTAGCTTGTTAATATGGGGCTATCCCCTGTTTTATTCCTAATATTGATGATTTGTGTTTTCCCCTTTTTTTCTTTGCCAGTGTTGCTAGAAGTTTGTTAATTTAAGACCCAGCTTTTTGTTTCTTTGATTTTTCTCTATTTTTTTCAATTACATTTATTTTTGCTCTTTTATTATAATAATTTCTTTCCTTCACTTACTCTGAGGTTTTGTTTTGTTTTAGGTTTTATTGCTCTTTTTTCCTAAGTTCTTAAGGTAGGACTTAGATTATTGGAAACTTTCCCTTTTCCAGTGTACATATTTAGTGCAATAAACTTGATGAAATGGACCAGGAAGAACTGGTGGACTTTGATCCAAATCAAGAAAGACAGTGCCATTACAATGGAGAAGCATACGAGGATGATGAACATCATCCTAGGGGTGGTGTTCAGTGTCAGACCTCTTAATGGGGCCAGTGAATAACACTCACTGCTGGCATTTTTTATGCAGTAGTGAATGAGTGAAGGACTGTAACCATAATATGCTCACTACTTGCTATTGTTTTTGTTTTAATATTCAAGTATAGTAGTGTTTTAAAAGTTAAATGAAGAATAAACTCAAATATAAGAGCTCAAAAAAAATGAAAGGGGCTATTGAATCGTGTTGTATTTTCTCAATAAATTAGCTTAATTTTTTCTACTGTATTTTCCATTTTGTTTCTCCTTTTTTTATATCTCTCCTTTTGAGATTATTATTTTTATTTTCTTTTTGTCTTGTAATTTTACATTTCTAAAATCTCAGTTCATTTGCTCTTGCTTTTCTTTTCATTACTAAGGTATTTAGAGTGGTAAATTTTTCTTTGGTAGATTCCCATATCCTATCTAATAATAGAGAAACATGGTAATTAACCGTAACTTCGCTACCCTTCCCATTGGCTAATCAGTGAGATATGCAAATTAACTGCCAGCCAAGATGGCGGCCGGCAGCCAGGCAGCTGAAGCAAACAGGAGGCTTGCTTGCTCCAGTGACGGAGGAAGCCAAGGTTCCCCGCCTGCCTCAGCCCAGCTCTGAGCTCCAGATGCAACAATGTTGCAATTATAGAAGCTAAACAAACCCAGAAACCCGCTTTCAGCCGCCAGCGGGCTCAGAGCTTAGAGCGCCAGTGATGGCAACAGAGTTTCAATTATAGAAGCTAAACAAATCCAGATACCTGTTTTCAGCCAGCCACAGACAGCCTCAGAGCTGGACCCGGCTCTCAGCTCCAGTGACAGCTATAGAAGGTAAATAAATCCCAGAATAAAAAAAAAAAAAAGAGGCTGGGAGCTTCAGTCGCCCGCCAGCCTGAAAACGGCCCTCCGCCCCTCACCCAGACTGGCCAGGCACCCCAGTGGGGACCCCCACTCTGAAGGGGGTGTGACCAGATGCAAACAGCCATTGGCCCGTCATCCAGGCTGGCCAGGCACACAAGCGGGACCCCCACCCTGATCTGGATCACCCTTTAGGGCAAACCAGCTGGCCCCCACCCGTGCACCAGGCCTCTATCCTATATAGTAAAAGGGTAATATGCAAACTGACCCTAACAGCAAACCGACTGGGAATGACTGGTCACTATGACACACACTGACCACCAGGGGGCAGACGCTCAATGCAGGAGCTGCCCTCTGGTGGTCAGTGCGCTCCCACATGGGGGAGCTCTGCTCAGCCACAAGCAAGGCTGATGGCTGCCAGTACAGCAGTGGTGGTGGGAGCCTCTCCTGCCTCCTCAGCAGCGCTAAGGATGTCTGACTGCAGTTTAGGCCTGCTCCCCGCTGGCAAGTGGGCATGCCCCGAGGCTGCCGGGCTGCCAGAGGTATGTCTGATTGCCATCTTAGGCCCAATCCTCTGGGGAGCGGGCCTAAGCCAGCAGGTGGTCATTCCCTGAGGGGTCCCAGACTGCGAGAGGACACAGGCCGGGCTGAGGACACCTCCCCACCCCCCCGAGTGCACAAATTTTTGTGCACCGGGCTTCTAGTATTTTGATAAAATTGATAATTTTGTTTAAGGTATTTTATTATTTTCTGCACTTTTTTCTTGGCCTGGTCATAATTCAAGAAAGATGTTATATATTTCTTTAAGTTAAAATATATTTTATTCTTTTCCATTATGTGTAATTACACATTATATATAAAACATGCACATATTTTACACGTACGTTATTTCCAATGGGTCGAACATCTTTTAATTTGTTCTGAGAATTAGGTATGTGTTTGTAATTTCTACCTTTTTAAACTCAGAGGGAAATAATGACTGCTAATTTCACATGTTATACATAGTTTGCTTTCTCATCTTTTAGTTCTCTAAACAAATTAAAATCATACTTTATATATTACTTTTTAATTTTTTCCTTAGTATAATGTGAACATTTCCTCATGTAATTAAATAATTATTTAAAAATATTTTTATGCCAAAACCGGTTTGGCTCAGTGGATAGAGCGTCGGCCTGCGGACTGGAGGGTCCCGGGTTCGATTCCGGTCAAGGGCATGTACCTGGGTTGCGGGCACATCCCCAGTAGAGGGTGTGCAGGAGGCAGCTGATAGATGTTTCTCTCTCATCGATGTTTCTAACTCTCTATCTCTATCTCTCTCCCTTCCTCTCTGTAAAAAATCAATAAAATATATTTAAAAAAAAATATTTTTAAAGGCTCCATAGTATTATAAAGATCTTTTATAGACTTAAAAAAAAATTCTCTTCTGAGGATATGGTTTTTTTCCTGTTTGTTTGTTTTTGGTTAATCCTCACCTGAGGGTATTTTTTCCATTGAGTTTTTTAAGGAGAGTGGAAGAGAGGGAAAGACAGAGAGAAGCATCAATGTGAGAGAAACATTGATTGGTTGCCTCCTGCACGAGCCCCAACCAGGGCCCTGGCCAGGAAGGATCCTGCAACCAAGGTACATGCTCTTGACCAGAATCAAACCCAGGACCCTTTGGTCCGCAGGCCGACGCTCTAGCCACTGAGCCAAACCAGCCAGGGCTGAGGATATGTTTTTCATCTTTTGAAAGAGAGAGAAACAGCGATATGAGAAAGAAACATTGATCAGTTGCTTCCCATACACACCTTGATTGGGGATCAAACCCACAACCTAGGTATGTGCCCTGACCAGAATCAAACCTGCAACCTTTTGGTGGATGGGATGATGCTCCAATTGAGGCACCCTTCCAGGGCTTTTATAGACTATTTAATGAGAGCAATTTTCGTTGACTATTTAAATTGTCTTACAGTACCTTTACTTGTACCTTTCATTTAAATTTTATGTATTTAAATTTTTAAAATGTATTTTTATGTATTTCAGAGAGAAAAGAAAAGGGAGAGAGAGGTAGAAATGTCAATGATGAGAGAGAATCATTGATCGGCTACCTCCTGCACGCCCCCGACTGGGAATCAAGTTGCAACCTGGGCATGTGCCCTTGACCGAAATCGAACCCAGGACCTTTGAGTTTGCAGGCTGATGCTCTATCCGCTGAGCCAAACCAGTTAGGGCTGTATTTAAAATTTTTAAGGTATTTATTGATTTGAGAGAAAGAGAAATATCGATTTGTTGTTCCACTTATTTATGCACTCACTGGTTGATTCTTATATGTGCCCTAAGGATCAAACCACAATCTTGGTTTATTGGAGGATGCTCTAACCACCTGAGCTACTTGGCAAACACATATACATGGCATGAAATTCAAAGGGAACAAAAGGGTTTAGCCTGTCTCGGTTAATCAGTCTTCCTTCCCTCTGAACCAGTTAGAGTTACGAGTTTGTTGTGTTTCTTTTCAGGGCTCCCTCTCCCCTTTCCTTTCTCCCCCTCCTCCTCCAACCCCAACACCAACACCATCACCAGTCATCACACATGTACTTTTTCCTTTTTCACACAAATAACCATCTGCATCTTACTTTTTCCTCCACTCAATATACCATGGAGGTGATTCACATCAGTATATAAAAAATCCTTACTAGTTTTAAGACTACACAGTGTTCTGATCTATAGATGTTTCATAATTTAAGCAGACTATTAATTTAAGTTGTTACAATACTTATAAATTAAAGCTGTGTTTATTGCGATTTGTTCCTTGTTTTTAAAGGATGGGTCTCTAGATTGTATTCTTTCGTTTGCTCCCCTTCTTTGACATGTGGTTTTGCTTTTCTTAGTGAGGAATGCGTCAGGCTGATGACTGCCCCTGTCTTGTAGGAATTATGGGCCCCTTTAAAGGAATGATGAGCTCACTTCCTTATGGGAGGGCATTCGGCATTGAAGTTGGTATTTAAGGAATACCTGAGATTGAAGGTTCTGATAGTACAAATTGTTTTAAATGTGAAATACAATAACATAAGAAATGCCTAACACATGAAAGTAGTACTTAAAGGATTATAAAATGAACACCTGTGTGACCCGGTCCAGGTCAAGAAATAGACCATTGTCTATACCTCTGGGGCCTTTTTAATTTATAATTCCTTCCACGCCCTCTGTGGTGGCCACTTTCCTGATCATGACGGTATTCATGTTGTCTTCGTATCTGTATAACCTATGTATTCTTAAGCAATGTAGTAAAATTGTGCTTATTTTTGGAACTCTCCCCTAATGTTTTTAGATATCAGAAATTTTGTACCCCAGGAGCAGCCCTGAAGAGGAAGAGCCATAGAGGGTGTGTGGGAAGTGAAGAGGCAATGATTCTACACATCTTGTCTTAGTGAAGTTTGGGGAACTTCAGCCTTATTATTATTAGGTGAATTTGAGATCTTTTTTGTACCAGGGGATGGAGCTATATCTTCACTGTTGCTAGGATTCCAGAACTAGCTCTGTGTTTGTTTCTTTGAAGTGCTGCTGTGACCAGGGCATAGTCCTGCCCGGAGGTCTCCTTATATGCCCATTCTGTTTCTACTCATGTTCTTCTGCTGGACATTTTTAACTGTGTGTTCATTCTTAAGAGCCCTAAAATTCTGCTCTTATTTTTTCTTTCCAAATCTGTAAAAGCTTTGGAGTTTAATTTAGACTTTATGCATAAACTAGTGAATTCAGGCACATTGAAAGGAAATTAATTAGAAGAAATATTTTAATATTGCTATTCGCTCTTTCTCTATAATAGAAGTGTCAGAGATGGAAGAAATTTAGTAAAATGTACATGAAAGTAATATATAAGTTGATTGATATAACAACGAATATTTTCCATGAAATTTCTACTGTCAGAATCTTTGTTTATCATTAATTTTTTAAAATATGCCAGGTATTCTGGAAAATTCATATCATTTGAACAAACTTTGCCTTTGCTACAACATGGAGTAAATTTTCCATCAGATGGTTTTTCATTGGAGAAATTTAGGGATAGGCACAATGGACATGTAACAGTCATTCCACCACAACTGTGTTCGATAATTGCGTCCTCATTTACCTCATTTTCGCTATGAAAGCAGTTCCTACCAGTATTGGTAGTACTTGTCCGTGACTGTTCTTCAGACATATTCTGTCGACGATGTCACTTTCTTTCACCTCCAGAGGTACGTTGTGCCAATAGTTGTTCTTCAGACATACTCTTTTGATGATGTCACTTTCTTTCAGCCTCAGAGGTACGTTGTGCCAATAGTTGGTCTTCAGATACATTCTGTTGACGATGCAGGCTTCTTTTGGCTTCAGAGATACGTTGTGGCAATAGTTGGTTTTCAGACATATTCTGTTGACAATTTCGGCTCCAGAATGTCAACAAAAACGTGATGTCTATACCTGGCACCCACAGCCACTGTTTGCAGGCTGGGATGGGCTGTTGGCCTGCATTTTGCACCATGGGGTCTCTGCACCATTGGCTGCGATTTGGTGGGCTGTCGTTCTGGGATGGTGGCGGGGCCTTTGTCCCACTTGGGGGAAGCCTAGTGTTGCTTTATCAGTGCCAGGTCCACAGTGCCATTTCTCTGTGAGTGACATGGCAGCTCCTGCATTGAGCATCTGCCTCCTGGTGGTCAGTGCATGTTATAGCAACTGGTCGGACAGTGGGAAGGACACAGCATATTAGCCTTATATATATATATATATATATATATATATATATATATATATATATATAGACTAGATGCCCAGTGCATGAATTCGTGCATGGGTGGGGTCCCTCTGGGTGGCCTGCAGGGATCAGGCTGAAACCCGCAGTCCAACTCTGCCTGCAGCTCCTACCTGCCGCTCCCGCTCATCCCGGACCCACTGTGCCTGCCGCAGGCTCACACCCATTCAGTCCCGTTTGGGAGAGGCTCGCACTGTCACAGCAGCGCTCGCCAGCCATGAGCCTGGCGCCTGGTGCCCTTCCAAGGGGAGTGGTGTGCAGGATTGGGTTGAAACCAGTTCTTCTACATCCTCCGAGGGGTCCCAGATTGTGAGAGGGCGCAGGTCAGGCTGAGGGACACCCCCTGGTGGTCAGTGTACATCATAGTGAGCAGTTGAGCAGCCTTCGCTTATCGTTAGCATATTACACTTTGGTTGTTTGGTTGTTCTGCCATTTGGTCTATTTGCATATTACCCTTTAATATATAGGGTGCTTGTTCCTCTTTCCCATTTAGGGACCTTGGATGCTTGAGCAAATTGATGTTTTTTCTTTTTTGTGTCAACTATTTTGGATTTTCTATAAACATAAGTAGAAATGGTATTATGGTATATAGATCATGCCTGATTTAAGAAAACACACAAAAATTATTTTATATAAGAAGACCATAGAAATAATTTCTAGTTAACTTTGGTAGTTGAGTTACTTTCAAAATTTGTGATGCTACTTACATCACCACCTAATATACATATGAATATATGTATGTGTGCTAAAATTTCACTATGTACAGTTATTCTGATATCATTTATCCTGTTCTAATTTCATTAAAAATAAGTGGTGATTGGGGACCCATTAAATTGTCTGCAGGATTCTTCAGTAGGTCACGGCTTGCAGTTGAAAAGGTGCCACAATTTTCTAGAGGGAAGAGGTTGGCTTCAAGGGATTAAACTGAGTTAGGCAGCCCTGGCTGGCGTGGCTTAGTGGTTGATTGTCAACCTATGAACCAGGAGGTCACAGTTTGATTCCCAGTCAGGGCACATGCTTGGGTTGCGGGTTCAATCCCCAGTAGGGAGCGTGCAGGAGGCAGCCGATCCATGATTTGCGCTCATTATGGATGGTTCTCTCTCCCCCCTTCCTTCCTCTATGAAATCAATCAATCCTATCTATTATCTATCTATCTATCTATCTATCTATCTATCTATCTATGGTTTTAAAAATAAACTGAGGCAAACTAGAGTCAAGGTGTGCTTAAGAGCCTGGACTTTGGAGAAGGATGGACTTGGGCTCATCTCTTGGCTCTGCTACTTGCCAGTCACAAGCTAGTAGGCATTCTAGAGCTTAAGCCTTCTATAAAATGGGAATGACACTTCCTGCCTTGGGGTTTTGAGGATTAAATGGAAGAATGTATGGCTGTAAGGTAAGCATTAATACACACCCACTGTATCAGGACAAATTGGAGTTTCTCTGACTTGAGCCCAGTGGTCTTTGTACAGGTTGCAGAATCTACTAGGACAGGAGTTATGGGACAGTGTTAAGTAGCAGAACAAGTGGATGGGAATTGTTTAGTTGATTTGCTGAGCCTTTGGGATCAGGTCAGGTGACTGCTGGAATGTATGCTCACAAATTCTGTTAGTTCTTTATAGGAGTGGGAGCTGCATGAAGGTGTCAGGCAGTTACAGTGCCTTCAGTGCAGAAGAGTTGGACTGCTGTGCTTGTTCATGGGTGGGAGGTTGAAGCCAAAGTGTGTGTGTGTGTGTCTGTGTGTGTGTCTGTGTGTAAGATCAACTCAGGGGAAGACTAGAGGACATACTCTGAGTTTTCACTCTATCTCCTTCCATATTTCACATTTAAAATAATTTCCTGCTCTTCTACCCCCTTTTCTAAAGAATGACCAGCTTTATATTTTAGATAACAGTCTGTTCTTAAAAGGAATTGAAGCCAATTTGAATGTTAAAATTTAAATAAGAAAATTAAATTTATATAAAGTCCTAATATGAAGAGAAACCCATTTATTAACATTTAGTGTTTTCCCTTCCAGTTTTTTCTCATGCATTTAAAAAAAAGGTGGCAGTAATACCGTACATCAGGCACCTTTATAATGAAATTAAAAATTGAACTGGCTAGATAGCTCTAGATCAGTAAGATGTAGAGGAAGGGAGAAGGGGCAGTGTTGAATGGGAGAGAGAGTAACATTGATTTAATCTATCCTCTTAGGTGCTCTGTAAGAAGTAAGAATTTGACTGTAAAACTTCCCTCTTTACTGCTCTTCTCCCTTATTAGGCATGTGCTCCTGAGGTCAGAAGAACAGATCTTAGGGTTGTTGTGCTTCTAAAATTAGTATCTCCGTTAGATTGCTGGTAGAGTTTCTATTTTTTTTTTTTTTTTTTTTTGTGGAATATGAAAGCTGAACTGTTTCTAATAGTTCTATTAACCATATATTTGCTAGTCAGTGCTTCTCAACTGCTCAGGCTCTCCACCAGTGAACCCTCTCAGGTCCTGAGAAAAACCCAAGTAGCCTACCCTCCATGGCAGAACCTGAATGGGCAGTGCTGCCTGGAAAGGGTGACTTAACATGAGTCTATTATGTTTTCTCTTTTTCCCACAGATTTTGAAGCCAGCTTCATAAGGCTTTTGGACAAAATAACAAATGGTTCTCGAATTGAAATAAACCAAACAGGTAAGCTCCTTTTCTTCCTGTTCGGGAAAGCATCTACATATGCACTACTTAATCATCCTTCTGTTTCTCACTCCATTTGATGGTATACATTTTATATTCAGATGGAAACATCCAGGTTCCTGTCTGTGATACAGTTGTTTGGAGATATGTGTGAATTCTGCCGATTTAAGGGGCATACACTTGATTTAAGGAAGTTAGAAGACTGAAAATTTCAGATCAACAAACCAACACCTTCTCTTTTTTTAACAGTAAATATTTTATACCTACCACTTATTAACTTAAAATTTTTCAAAGTCCATTTACTTATATTATCACAACAAAATCTTACCACAACCTCTAGGAGGTAGTTGTATGTGCTGAATTTTATTTTTTTATTTTGCTTTTAAGATTAGTTTAAATAAGTATATGCAAAAATTGTGAAAACCCCTTCAGCTGTTTCCGTTCCATTCCCTCCCCAGGTGCAGCCATGCTGGGGAGGGCGACGTGCCCTTGTCTGCTTCCTCTATATGCATTTGCTTATAAGGGTACCTCTGTACCTTAGACGAACAATTTTCAACCAGTGTGCTGCAATAATTTTTAAAAAGATGCAATACCTGACTATTTTGTCAGGGGCACTGACCTCTTTACCCTTAGATGGTCAGATAAAAAAATATGATAATAGCCAACACAATATCTGTCCAGTGTGAATGAGTCAGAGTTATACCTAATTTTTTTTTGGTCAGGTCAGCAAAAAAATTTAACATAGCTTTTGGTGTGCCATAGAATTTTAATAATTGGTGAGATGAGGACAGTTGAAAATAGCTGTCTTAGACCATCAACAGGGTTGTGCTCTTGATATGTTCTACAGCCAGCTTTTTGTCTTCACTAGCACAGATGTCACAGGTTAATCTCAATTATTTCAGTAGGCCTCATATATAGTATTCCATTGTTGGATGCATGATCATTTATTTCAGTTTGTTTCTAGATACTTTTTGTTTGTTTGCTATTAGAAACACTTTTACTAGTATATACATTGTATAGGAAGCAAACATCTTTGCCAGGTTCCATGAACTAATTATGTACCTTTCTGTACGTGTGCAACAGAGGAAACTCTGAACTTGTTGACTCTTTTCTTTCTAATCCTCACCTGAGGATATGTTTATTGATTTTAGAGAGAGGAAGGGAGAAAGAGAGAAACATCTATTCCTTGACTTGCCGGGGTCCAACCCCAGCAGGTCCAGGGGTCCCCAAAGGTGTAGACGGAGTCGGCGAAGAAGGAATGACACAGAGACAGCGTCCAGTTGATCAGCAGCCTCGCCAGGATCTCTAGCCAGGATTTCCATCCAAGTTCTGGTCTGGATCTCCAGCGAAGTTCTGGTTAGGATTTCCAGCCAGGTTCTGTGTCCATGTTCTCTTGCTAGGCTCTCCAGCCAGGTTCTGTCCAGGTTCTCCAGCCAGGTTCAGTCACCAGGTTCTAGTCAGGTTCTCTTGCCAATTTCTGTAGTCAGGTTCAGTCCAGGATCTTTTGCCATGTTCTCTCCCTAGGTTCTGTCTCTAGGTTCTGAGGCCAGTTTCTGTCCAGGATCTTTTGCCATGTTCTCTCCAGCGAAGTTCTTCTGTCTCTAGAGAACGTTCTGTGTAGGTTCTGTGCCTAGGTTCTGTCTCTCTTGGTTCCGTATTCTAAGTTCTGTCTCTTGCTGTCTTATTACATCTGTATTTATACCAGTTGATTCAATCCTATCAATCTCTATTACAAAGGTTAGGGCGTTTCTTATCTCCATTCCAGGGAGTAAAGATTATGTAGCTCAAGCATGATTGTTCGTAGTTAAAGTGATTAATTACCCACCTGGCACTAGTTAAGAGGTTTTATTCCCTCCCTAACTTCAGGGGAAAATCCCTACCTGGGGATTGAACCTTTCTCGGAGAGGTGACCTTGGTTAAAACACAGCGCCAAGAAGGTGAGCAAACATATTAAGAACAGTATGCCATATATGCCAGGTCCCTTGAAACAGCGAGGATGGACTGGCTCCCGGCATTGACTCTCCTACAAACCCCAACCAGGATCGAACCTGTAACCCAGGTATGTGCCCTGACTGGAAATCAAACCCGAAGCCCTTTGGTGTTCGGGGCAACGCTCCAACCAAGTGAGCCACACCAGCCAGGGCCCACATGTTGTTTCTTTTAAGAAAGAAGACAAGCTTGGCTTAAAAAGTGGCCTGGCACCACAGGAAATTTGTTGAAGAGAACAGGTTTTAGGTATGCGGCTTCAGATGCCCTTTGCAAGCTATGGTTCTATTAGTCTTCCTTGTCTTGTTTACTTTGAAATTCCTGGAGATTTTTTCAGCAGTTTATATTGGTGATTCAGAGGGCAGGTAATGAATACATTTTCTAGTCACTTCTATAGCTTAGGTTGGGAAGTAGATATTTACATGATCCTGCTACCCTTGTATCACTCTCCCATACCCACCTCCACCCCAGGGTAGAATACTTCATTCTGATGACCTGGTCAATTTCTCATTTGGTTAATTTGCAGGCACAGACAGATTTGCAGTGCAGTGTTTAATGGTTATATAGCTTTTTTTTTTTTTTTAAAGGCTTTTTGTACTAGAGGATTAGAATAGTGTTTAGAATAACTGATGTAGAATCTTTCCCTTTGAGAAGTGTGGGAGGAATATGATTCTGATTTTGATCGATTCTGATTGTTGGTATTTTGGTTTTTAATATAGTAAGACCTAAATTTATTCTATGAAACTCGCAAGAGCTGCTTGCCTTTGGAGTGATTGAACGTATCTCCTTCCTCTGTTGCTAAATTTGCTCATTGATAAATTGTGCCAGAAGACATTGCAAAACATTTGAGCGACAAAAAGATCTTGTTCACCCACTTATACCCCCAGATCATCTAGAGCAGCAGTTCTCAACCTGTGGGGCGCAACCCCTTTGGGGGTCGAACGACCCTTTCACAGGGCTCGCCTAAGACCATCGGAAAACACATATATAATTACGTATTGTTTTTGTGATTAATCACTATGCTTTAATTATGTTCAATTTGTAACAATGAAAATACATCCTGCATATCAGATATTTACAGTATCATTCATAACAGTAGCAAAATTACAGTTATGAAGTAGCAGCGAAAATAATTTTATAGTTGGGGGTCACCACAACATGAGGAACTGTATTGAAGGGTCGCAGCATTAGGCAGGTTGAGAACCACTGGTCTAGAGTATCTTATTTTGTTTTTCCTCTAATATGTTAATCTGATAAGAAACTTTTTGAATGATACGAATATGTGAAAAAGTGGATAAAGATAAAGAGTTTCTAATAAAGCTAGTAAGTAAATTTAAATATTTTTATTTGTTTACTTTTATAATAGCTACTATTAATGGAATTGCCATAAAGTACTTGCTTTTGTAGGCATCTTGTTTGGTGAGTGTGGTACATGGGAAATCTCATTTTAAGGGCCTAGGCCAGGGGTGGGCAAACTTTTTGACTTGAGGGCCACAATGGGTTCTTAAACTGGACCGGAGGGCCGGAACAAAAGCATGGATGGAGTGTTTGTGTGAACTGATATAAATTCAAAGTAAACATCATTACATAAAAGGGTACGGTCTTTTTTTTTTTTTAGTTTTATTCATTTCAAACGGGCTGGATCCGGCCCGCGGGCTGTAGTTTGCCCATGGCTGGCCTAGGCCCTAGAGCAGTGATGGCGAACCTTTTGAGCTCGGCGTGTCAGCATTTTGAAAAACCCTAACTTAACTCTGGTGCCGTGTCACATATAGAAATTTTTTGATATTTGCAGCCATAGTAAAACAAAGACTTATATTTTTGACATTTACTTTATATATTTAAATGCCATTTAACAAAGAAAAATCAACCAAAAAAATGAGTTCGCGTGTCACCTCTGACACATGTGTCATAGGTTCGCCATCACTGGCCTAGAAGAAGCTGATTGCTGGTGTGATGGTTTCAGAGCATCATTTGTAAACACCCTTGTTCAGCAATGTCTGAGAATGTGCTGTTGGCAGACTTAAGATACCTGTTAGGATTTTTTTCTCTCTGTCTTGCCATGACTTTGGCAATTCAGATGGCTTAGGGAGGCTTAATTTATTACTGTTTATTAAATTACACTCACAGTTTATTATTATTACAAGGGCTTGACAGTAATGAGTCAGCTTTTGGACTGAAGTGTGGGCTCTTAGGAATGGCATTTTGAACTCCCTTGGATGCCCATGTCAGACTTTCCCCTGGGGACTCATTGCCTGTGTTGATTTTGTGACACTGAGTGTTTGTTTTTTTCCCTGCTGAATGTGGCTCTCTTTCCTCTTATGTAAGGGACGACCTTATATTACCAGCCTGGCCTCCTGTATGGTGGATCCGTGGAGCATGACTGCAGTGTCCTTCGTGGCATTGGCTATTACCTGGAGAGTCTTCTTTGCCTGGCTCCATTTATGAAGCACCCATTAAGGATAGTTCTTCGAGGAGTGACCAATGACCAGGTTGACCCCTCGGTGAGTAGTGAGGCCACACCATGGTGTGAATTTTGTTTCGTCTCTTGTCACAACCCAACTTTTGATAAACAAGCTCCTGATAAAGCACAGGTTTATTGTTGAGTGTATTTGTTTTGTTATTTACCTTGAGATTTAGAGATTAATCACTGCAGGACGCAGATGAACCAAGATTCATAATCAGTCAAATTCAGTAATGATTGTTACCATTCATCAAGGTGCCTTTCATTGTCGTGTCAAAGAACCTTCAGAACAGATGCTGGCAATCTCACCACGGTTGACATGAAATAATGGCTCTGTTGGCTGAAGTGTGTGGAAGTGAAACTTTCACAAGGTCATGTGATAGCTGAGGCTGGAAAGCAGCAGACCACAATTTTAGACAGAAAATATTTCCTTGGCATTGTTGCAGCACAGTCTTGACTTATTTAAACTTGAGGACATTCTTCTTCTGAGAAGAGTTTGCAGATTTAGGAAGAGGGCATAGGGACAGGGACTGTATATGTGAGCTTTGATAGTTTAAGGGCACAGCAACCTTCTTAAGTAGGGTAATTTTCCTGCGTGTATGGGGAAGATAGTTTAATATACAGGTGGAATTTTCATTGTGGCCACCACAAGTGTCAGTCCAGGATGGGTTTTGTTTTGGGGGGGAAAATATATATATATATATATAAAATATACATATTTTATATATATATATATAAAAAATATATAAAATATATATATATATATATTAGAGTAGTTCTTTCCAGACCTGCCTTAGACCTCTCATAGGGAGATAGGGAGAGAAGGATCCTCACCTGTAGATGCTCTGCTGTCCAGAGAGGGTATCTTAATGCCTATGGCCACTATGCCAAGTCCTGACTGCGGACTCTTATCTTCACCTCTACAGACATGGAACCAAGACTGATGAAGGGTCAGTAATATTATAATAACTATGTATGGTGCCAGTTGCGTACTGGAAATATCAGGGGGAACACCTTGTAAAGTATATGCTGTACACCTGAAACTAATACAAAATAATGCTGAATGTAAAGTGTAATTGAAAATTTTTTTTTCAATCTGAAGACCAATGAAGGGGTGGCTTCTAAGGCAGAATATGAAGTATCTAGCTTCTCTAATCAGGGAAGACCAGTTAGGTGGTTCAGTGAGCTGCACAGTGGAGACTGCTGGTATTCACCTATACACTTTTAGAGTATAAACCTGGTTAATGTGTTCTTAGGCAGTAAAAGACTTATTTCCCAATTCTTGGGATTTGGGTACATAAACTCTTTTCCTAGAATCTTAGTACAGTGCATGATCTGAAATTCTTAGCTGTAAAGGAATGCTGAATAAACTGTCTAGAATTTTAAACTAATTTCAAGGGATTGCTTTTTTTCTTATATTTTTCTGGAAGATTCTGGGAAGTGGGCCCTTCAATTGAAAGTGTTCCCAAGGGGAACCCTCCACACTTTTAGGTGGAGGGTGGGGAAGGGGCCTTGAGTAATGGGAAAGGCCCTGAGCGTACAGGAGACTTTGGCACTGTGTCCCAGTTTTGTATTCTTTCTATAATTGCTAATGATCTTAAAAGCTGTTATCACTGGCAGTATTTTAAAAAGTTTTATATATTAACAGGCAAAGGTTAGTTGATGAATTCCCCAGAAATAGTGCTTAACTCTTTTGTGCAGAACATATAAAAGAAATCGTGTTTTCATATGCTACAGGACTGCTTTTGCTCCCTGCAAGACTAAAATGACCTTGGATCGTACTTGGCTCCAATCCAGGATAAAACAAATATACCTAATCTTGGATAAAGAGTAACTTCCTCAGCCTTCTTGGATAAAGAGTGGCTTCTTCGTTTTGAGCTTTCTCTTCAGCATGTGGTTTCCCTATCAGTTCATGTCCACGTTTGCTGTCTACACCAGGATGAATATAATGCGCTCTGCCCTTAGGGAACTTGTTCTCATGGGGTGGACAGCTATGAACACATAGAGGGGAGGCCACAAGGCGGAGTACCTCTGGGCTCTGATCGAGGTACAAGCAAAGTGCTGAGGGCTCGGGAGGGTTTTCTAGAGGAAGGGAAGCCACAGAATCAGCTTGGTTTTCAGGAAGAGCACTGTGGAGGCTGAGAGAAGTATGAATTGGGGGTTTGTCAATTAGTTTGAACACATTAGAGATGGAAGTAGATAGGAAGGAACTGATATGAAGGACAATGTGGAGGGGAGACTTCGTCATTTGACAGTTAATTAGAGATGGGATAGGAGGAAGTGTTCATAAAGTAACTTCACAATTTCTGTCCTGGTTGTCTTGAAGGATAGTGATCAGAAGGAGTTGAACACAGCGAAGAGGAAAATTGTGGTTGGTAGTTGGGTGATGTGCTTGATTTTGGTATGTTGGGAGGAATATCCACATGTGTTTGTCCAGTTGGCAGTGGACATCACTGTCTGGAGCTTCAGTGATAGGTCATCAGTATCTTACCTACAGATAGTCAAATCTCTAGGAGACTGAGATTGACCAGCGCTGAGTGAGGTTGAACACCGGCGGCTTTCTGTCTGAGTTAATCCTACCAGTGTTTTTCCTTTGGCCTGCACAGCATGGTGGTGTGTGTATCTGAATTGAATGTTCATGTTTGGAACCAGATTTTACATTGTAATATGCTGGTGTGGCAGCAATGACGGCAGCTCTTCCCCGACAGCCTCCCTCTGAGCTGAGTAGTAGCTGCCCTCTTTGGAAAAGGCATGAGCTCTCCAGTTAGCTGGAGGTCTTAGCTGATCTCGTCATTCATTTACATTCCCTTTCTGGCCTGTGTTGAGCATTAGAGGTTTTTGCGTCATGGTCCCAGGGACCGAGACTAGAAGAGGAAGTGGATGTGTAAGGTGTGAGTAGGGGAAGAGGAGCTGCAGACAGTGAGTGGAGGTAGAAGTGTTTGGAGAAGCCAAGCAGGAGTTGAGTTTTGAGAAGCCAGGAGCTGATTGAGGATTGGGTAGGGAGATTCAGCAATGAGAAGTTTCATTGACCTTTGAGAGAGCAGTGACATTGATATGTAAGGACAGTCACAGGGTGAGGAATGAATAGGAAAGAGCACCATGGGAAGGAGGTTCAGAATGTGAGATAGGATGATTCCTAAAGAGCTGAGTTTGGAAATAGTTTTTTAAATGAGAGATTTGAGCTTGCTTATAGGCTGAGGAGACGCAGCAATGGAGAAGGAAAGAATTAAAGGGGTTGGGGGACTTACTATGGGTAACTCCTGCAGACATCCAGAGGGGATGAGCATCAAAAGCAGAAGTGGTGGGATGAGCCCCCTATAAATGGGTAGGACATTTTTTCCCTTCAGAGGCAAAAGGTTAGAAACTGGGGAGACATTTTGGGGAGAAGCAAAGTTCTAGGACGTCTCCTTTGAAGCTCAGTGATTTGGCACCGGAACCCCCAATAGGAATTATTGATGCTAGCATCCTGGTCAGAGGGTGAGTGAAGATTCTGTTCTTTTTCATTACCGTTCTGGAAGGGGAATGAAGTACAATAATGTCTGCTGTATGTTGGGCACAGTTCTAGTACATGTAGCCATATTTATTTAATTCTGGTACAAACCCTGGGAGATGGGTGTTCCTGCCACTGTTTCAGACAAGGTAACTGAGCAGTTTCTTCCCTTCTAGTTGGCTTTGTATCTGATGACATTTCTACCTGTTGATTGATTGAGTGAACTTGTCAGACTGACTGACGCCTTTACACTGAGGTGCCACTTGGGTCAGACTTTTCTGAGTGACTGTTCAGTTTTCCTTAAGTAGAATGTGCAGCCCACCCCCACTCTACTGAAACTACGATGCAGAGCGGGGGGAGACAGGAACATGGCCAGTCCAGCCCCTCATGCACAGCAGGAAGCCAAGGCCCCGGGGAGGTGGGGAGTGTGCAGGTTTCACAGCTAGTAAGAGGCAGAGTGAGACTCAAGCCTACATGTGCTCTTCCAGCCCCCGTCCCGCCACATGAGTTGCCTGCCTTTTGCATCAGATGGAGAGTGATATAGGAGACAGGACCACACCTGGAGTTATACTCAGGCTTCTGGCTGACCCTCAGAGTAAATCTGACTTCATCCTGTATGACTCCAGGTACAGGGAGGATGAACCAGAAGGGCTGTTCTGCTTTCTTGCCTTTTCTGTCCCCAGGACGTCTGGTGGCTGCCTAGTTCCAGGGGGTTATTTGGGCAGAGTAACCCACATCCTTGTATCCCCTGGTTTTTCCAGAAATCTGGCTTGGCCTTGTCCCCAGCTGCCCTTAGTACTAGCCTAGGCTGAATTCTTCTTGGTGCTGGCCATCCCAAATGTATGTCTTAAGTATTTGGGTGTATTTTACTTTAATATTTAGGTTGAAATGAGCTAATTTTCAGTGAGTATTCCTAGTAACTTCTTCTGTACCCCCTCATCCATTCTCTACATGATCCTAGGCTGCATAGGTCATTTCTACCTCAGGTTAATTTTCTGATACCAGAATGTGTAGGCGGGGCCTATTCTCTGCTATAAAGACTTATTCGGAGTATCATTGTGTTGAGGCTTAGCATGTTGGAATGGGTAGCACCTTGAAGACAGGCTGACACCCTTGCCTTAGAGATAAGGAAATTAGACAGTTGTCTGAGACCATGCAGCTCACTCGGGAGAGCCTGAACCAGGACCAGCATTTTCCCCTACCCCCTCTGCTTTTGCTGCCTGCCCTCCCTGCTCCTGATAAGGTCAGCTCCCAAGTGCCGAGGAACGGCCCTTTGCCCATTGGGAGCGAGGAAGGGAGTGACTTTCTTTCCCATGTTGCAGCTGAGTCAGCATTCATTGACTTGTTAGGTCAGCGTGCTTTGAATGTCATCCTTATACTCTGAGGAATCTATACGTGAACAGGAAAGGACCCCACGCCTCCTGTGAGTTCTGAATAGGGAGGAGATAGTAGTCATACTTGACACAGCCTTGCCATTAACTGTGCAGTTGTGGGTTTGTGCTGCTTCGGTAGTTTGAGGCAATCATTCCTCCACTGCCCTCACTTTCTTTAGAACCACCACCTACCCTTTCACTGCCTGTGCGGTGGGCCTCAAAAAGATTCTTAAGTAGCTGTTGACTACTTTTTTTGGTTTGCTTTGGCTTTGGCGTGGCACAAGCTTTAAAGATTAAACAACAGTGTTGGGAAAAGATTAATAAAAAATATGATATATTTTCCGCAGTGTAAATACATAAAAAAATGAGCAGAGGTCCAAGTTTGTTCTATATGAGCCCGGCAGGTTCTCATGCTTTTTGCATGTGATGGTCATGATGATGACTTGTAAGGTAGGTGTAAGTCTCCATGTCAAAAATGAGGAAAGGGGCTCAGAGGAGCTAGTGGCTTATAAAATCTGTTTTACTCGGGAGCAGAGTGGTTCCATGCCCTCACTTGTAAGTCAGCATCCTCTTTCTTTTTCTTTTTTTAAAATACATTTTTTAAAATTTATTTCAGAGATGAAGGGAGAGGGAGAGAGAGTTAGAAACATCAATGTTGAGAGAGAATCATTGATTGGTTGCCTTCTGAACGCCCCTTACTAGGGAATCGAGCCCACAACCTGGGCATATGCCCTTGACTGGAATCAAACCCGGGACCTTTCAGTCTGCAGGCCGATGCTCAATCCACTGAGCCAAACCAGCTAGGGCCAGCATCCTCTTTCTTTACCAGACTACACATCATCTACCTGGTTGCTATGTCTCCACTTGGTTCATGGGCTGTTTCTTCTTCCCATCTGCTCAAGGTTTAATGAAACTTTTTATTTTATTCTGAAATAATTCTACAGGTTGATGTTCTTAAGGCAACGGCCCTCCCTGTTTTGAAACAGTTTGGAATTGATGGTGAATCACTTGAGCTAAAGGTAAGAGTGAATTGTTGTCTGTATATATCTGTGTAAAACATTTCCTTACCAACTCATTGGAAGAGCTGTATGACGTGTGTGTGTGTGTGTGTGTGTGTGTGTGTGTGTGAGAGAGAGAGAGAGAGAGAGAGAGAGAGAGAGAGAGAGAGAGAGAGGGAGAGGGAGAGAGAGAGAGAGAGAGATATTTGAAGTCAGCATTTATGAGAAGACCCACAGGACATGCAAACGTGACAGACTTTGAGTTGAAAGGGACCCTTTAGTAATGACAATAATAGCCAACAGTTATATTGTACTTTCTTTGTGGTGGGCATTGTTGTAAACATTTTACAATTATTAATACTTTACTATTCATAAAAACTCCATTTGTGTCACTCAGCTAATAAGTAGTAGAGTTAGGATTTTAGCCATAATGCCTCTCTAATGTAGATAATCTAGATATAGTTTATGTCTTAACATCATAGTACAACATGTTGCTCACATTTTTATGATGAGGCTAGTGTGTACAAACCCACTTCTCTGCCAGTCGTATAAAAGTATAACACGTACAGCCCTAGCCGATTTGGCTCAGTGGATAAAGCATTGGCCTTCGATTTCGATCAAGGGCATATGCCTGGGTTGTGGGCTCAATCCCCAGTAGAGGGTGTGCAGGAGGCAGCCAATCAGTGATCCTCTCTTATCATTGATGTTTATATCTCTCTCTCCCTTTCCCTTCCTCTCTGAAATCAATAAAAATATATTTAAAAAAAAATAAAAGCATAACACATACAATTATGTATGAATCTCATGTTGTTTTGTGTACAAAACAAAACCATACAAAATCCACTGTTAGCATTCTCAGTAAGAGGCCATCTTGAGTGATTGACCTGGAAACAAAATTAAAAAATGATTAGATACTACAATGGTAGAAAACCAGTGATGGTTATTGCTCACCAGTCAGGCATGTCCTATTCCACCATAGCTATGATCTTGAGGAACAAAAACAAAGTAATGAAAGCTATTAAAGGGTCTACTTCATTAAAAGCAACAAGACTAACACAAATTTGAGAAGGGCATATATCAGACATGGAGAAACTTGTAATGACCTGGATTGAAGACCAGACATAGAAGTGTATCCCTCTCAGCACTATGACATGACAATCACAGCCAAAACAAAAAGTTTGTTTGGGATGCTGAAAGAAGAGGCTGAACTCAATTACGATGTTGAATATACTGCTAGCTCTGGGTGGTTTAAAGGTGGTTCAAGCATGGTTATTCATTACATAATGTGAAAGTGAGTGGTGAGCCTGTGAGTGCTGATGTGAAGGGAGCTGAAGAATTTAGGGATACTCTAGACCAGCGGTTGCCAATCTTTCGGACCTCACGGACCACCAGTGGTCCACGGACGACCGGTTGGTCACTGCTGCTCTAGATAAGCTGATGTGGAGGAAAATTACTTGTCAGAGCAAACTTTGAATATGGATGAAACCTCCTATTCTGGAAATAGATGCCTGAAAAGACTTTCATCCATAAGAAGTCCAGGTCAATGCCAAGTTTCAAGGCTTTCAGAACAGGATAATGTCTTGCTTGGAGGCATTGTTTCTGGCTACAAACTGAAACCCTTTGTTAGCTGACCAGGGACAACCCAAAGGCCTTTAAGCATACCAGTAAGCACACACTGCCAATATCCTACAGGTTTGGTGAGAAGTCATGGATCCAGCTGCTCTTCCAAGATGCCCTTTTTAATTACTGTCAGCGAAATGGAAAAGTACTATTTGGAGAATTATATACGTTTTAAGATTTTGCATATTGTTGACAGTGCTCTTGGACATCCTCCTTTTATTGGTGATCTTTTTTTTTAAAAAAAGTATATTTTTATTGATTTTTTACAGAGAGGAAGGGAAAGGGATAGCTATAGCTAGAAACATCGATGAGAGAGAAACATTGATCAACTGCCTCCTGCACACCTCCTACTGGGGATGTGCCTGCAACCAAGGTATAGGCACTTGACAGGAATTGAACCTGGGACCTTTCAGTCCGCTGGCTGATGCTCTATTCACTGAGCCAAACCAATCAGGGCTTATTGGTGATCTTTAGCCCAATATCAAAGTTGTGTTTCTTCGCCCAAACACTACCTCTTTTATCAAGTCAATTGATCAAGAAGTTATAGTAGCTTTAAGACCTTCTATCTGAGGAGGACCTTTGCCTAAGCTATTACTGCAACTGAGGAAAATACTGAAAAAACATTGGCACAATTCTGGGATTACAGTATCCATGACTACATCAGGAACCTTGCTTGGGTTTGGGTGATGTCACCAAGAAGTATATGAGCCCTAGCTGGTTTGGCTCAGTGGATAGAGGGTCGGCCTGCAGACTGAGGGGTCACAGGTTCGATTCTGGTCAAGGGAATGTGCCTGGGTTGCTGGCTCAATCCCTAGTGGGGGGTGTGCAGGAGGCAGCCGATCAATGATTCTCTCTCATCATTGATGTTTCTATCTTCCTCTCCCTCGCCCTTCCTCTCTGAATTCAATAAAAATATATTTAAAAAAACCGCAGAAGTATATGAATGGCATCTGGAAGAAGACAATTAGTTTGTCCCTGACTTCAAAGGATTTTCCAAGGCTGAAAATGTTGTAAAAATTAACAGGGCTGTGGTTGAGATGGCAAACAACTTTAACCTGCAAGTGGATGAGGCTGACATTGAGGAACTCCTAGAGGTGGTTCCTGAGAAATTGACTAATGAAGAGTTGTTGAAACTGGGACAGGAATGCGTAGCTGAAAAAGAGGCAAGAGAAAAGGAAACTGCAGGAGAAGGGAAAGAACATTCACAGTGAAGTGTTTAGCAGAAGCTTTTGAAGAACTCAAAAAGCTCCTTAAAAAGTTTGAAAACACGGACCCCCTCCTCAACACCAAAAGGTTTTCATTAATAGAGAGGAATTTTCATGATGCAAATCTGCTTACCAGCAAAAAATGATGAAAAGAGAAATAAACCAAGAAAACCGCAGTGGACATATTTCCTTAAGAAGAGCCTCAGATAGGTCCTTCAGGAGTATTCCAGAGGAAGGCATAGTTATAAGGAGATGACAACTCCATTTGTTATTACCTCTGACGACCTTTCAGTGGGACAAGGTGTGAAGACAATGAATTTAATGATCCTAACCTTGTGTAGGCCAAGCTAATGTGTGTGTTTTTGTGTCTTAGTTTTTAACAAAAAAGTTAAAAAAATTTAAAAAAATAGAAAAAGCTTATAGAATAAGGATATAAAGAAATACAATATTTTTGTACAGCTGGTACGCATGTTTGTGTTTTAAACTAAGTGTTATAAAAGTGTTGAAAATTTACAAAGTAAAAATGTTACAATAAGCCAAGTTTAATTTATTATTATTGAAAACACTTTTAAATAAATGTAATGTAGTCTAAGTGTATAATGTTTAAAGTCTTCAGTAGTGCATAGTAATGTCCTAGACCTTCATGTTTGCTCACCACTCATTGATTCATTCAGAGCAACTTCCAGTGCTGTAAGCTCCGTGTTTGATACTGCATTTTTACTGTACCTTTTCTATGTTTGGATCTACAAATACTCAGCATTGTGTTATAGTTACCTACAGTATTCAGTACAGTAACATGATGTACAGTGCTGTAGCCTAGGAATGATAGGCTATATCATCTAGTAGTCATACCATACAGGTTTGTGTGAGTATATTCTGTGATGTTCGCACAGCAACCCAATCACCTAAAGGTGCATTTCTCAGAACGTATCCCCTATTGTTAAGTGGTGCATGACTTTAATATATAGATTTGATAGATCAGTTAATTGCATAGGAGAAAGGGTTAAGAAATGGGATTAACTCCTAAACCCTGCCAGTCCCTCATTAAGGATGAGGACCTGCCTGACTGTGAGATCTCTTTCCCTTCTAAGAAAGAGTCCCTTGGTGTAAACCTTACTGACTTGGGTGTCTGGGCCATCTACTCATTGCTGCATTCTTGCCTCTTCTTTCTCACCATGTGTGCAGATTGTGCGACGGGGAATGCCTCCTGGAGGAGGAGGTGAAGTGATCTTCTCCTGTCCCATAAGGAAGGTCCTGAAGCCTATTCAGCTCACAGATCCAGGAAAAATCAAACGTATCAGAGGAATGGCGTATCCTTTGCATTTGGTTCAGATTTCTTATTATTTTCTTGCCTCACGAAGAGTGACTCACAACCAGTTTACTTCTTCCCAGAGTTATTTACATTTTAGACAACAATCATGGAAAAATCTTAACAGTGAAACTCTAATTGTTGTGTGGGTTATGATGCTTAATTAGCTGCCTCACCAGGACTAGATTGATTGATCCGTTCACTTCCTTTTTTTAGTTAACACTTAAATGGCTCCCATGTATGTTATACTCTTCTGAGGGCTTTGGTTTGGGGGCCACCAGTGCACAGGCCATTTTGACTGAGCCTTATAGACTAAAGCAGTGATGGCGAACCTTTTGAGCTCGGCGTGTCAGCATTTTTAAAAACCCTAACTTAACTCTGGTGCTGTATCACATATAGAAATTTTTTGATATCTGCAACCATAGTAAAACAGACATATTTTTGATATTTGTTTTATATATTTAAATGCCATTTAACAAAGAAAAATCAACCAAAAAAATGAGTTCGCGTGTCACCTCTGACTCGCGTGTCATAGGTTCGCCATCACTGGACTAGAGGCTTGTGAAGTGGAGCAAGGAAGGAAAAGAGCTTCAGGCAGAAAAGTGGGCCTGTAGGGAGGAAACAGGTGCAAGATGGCTCTGGGGAGCGCCTAGCAATGTGTGTCCCAAGTGCAGTAGGAGGTGGTACACGAAAGATGGGCAGGAGCCAGTGAAGGTGGAAGGCCATGCTGAGGCGTTCTTCATTCCAAAGTTAGCAGTTTTCTTCTGTAAAATGAATTTGCATATTAAGAGGATAACACTGATGGTACCAAGGAACTTTTTGTTCATTATAGAAATTTTGGAAAGTACAAGTTAAAAAAGAAAATCACCTAATGACCAGCACTTAGAGGCAAAGATGATGGAATTAATGTGTCCTAGAGAGAAACAGTGAGGACAGGTGATGCCTCTAGTTTATAGGATCCTAGAGGCAGGATGGACAGGACACAGTGATTACCTGGGTCTGTAATAGAGGAACAGGGAGTCGTGAGGATGATTTTGATGTTTCTCACTTAGGCATCTGGGTAGAGAGGTTTGTTCTGATAGTAGCTACAAACGTTTGTGGTGATGTGTGGCGTTAGTTTTTTTGTTGTCTGCTTTGACTTTTAAATACTTTATATGGTAAAAATACAGCAAAAATATTTTTTGTTCAAAGAGGGAAAAAATATATTGCTCTGGTTGTGGCTCTAAGGACGATGTAAATAGTCTCTGGCTGCTTAATGATGTGACTGAGCTTGATGATGACTTCTTCCACGTGTGACTTCAGCTGCCCTCCCTTGTGCATTTCTGTTGGATCAAACACTCCCATGTTACCACTTGGCATCATAATGAACCAATATATATTCCAAGTGGCAACAGGCAGGTTGAGAAGGGAGATGAACCAGTGCAATGAAAGGAGCATTGTCATGCAGTGACACTGGTGTGGCCAGTCAGTTCTGGAATTACCCACTCACCACATTGTCTTCATGACATGCCCAGCCAGCCACACCTTTCCACAGAACCTTGAGCCCCACAGAAGCAGGAGTCTTTCCTGTTTCTTCATCACTGTACCCAGTGCCAGCAGACACTGGTGACAGAGCCCCTGTGGGAAACTCCCTGCAGCCACCTCACGCACGTGTTTGCACAGTTGGAAATGGATAAGTTCAGCTTTATTTTATGTTGGGGTTGAGGGTCCTTCAAGGTGGTTACAGAAAGACAAGTCTAGAAGAAGTTAGAAATGTAGGTCTGTAACTTGGGGCAAGGTGAGCGCTAGAAATGAATGATTTGAGTCAGCTACGCTGTGGAATCAGAGAGGGGAGGGCGGAACCCTGAGTTGCCACTAAGACTTGTAACACTAGGTAAGTCCTCCCAGGAAGGGAGACTAGGAAGTCAGAGATGAGAGGATAATGAAGAAGGTGCCTTAAAAAGCCCAGAGGAGTCAGCATTAGGATGGGGAATTAGCTGAGGAATGAATGCACAGCAGGCTGCCACCAAAGGAGGAGCTCTTTCCAGAAGGTGGTGGAGACCTTCTTCCACATGTAACCTCGCTTGTGTAATCAGCTCTGGGTTGTGGGGTGACTGGGAGGGAAATGGTGAAGTGTGGAGGCCACGCTTGCAAGAACCTTGGCAGGAAAGAGAAGTAGAAAGAAAGATAAGGTGGTAACTTGATGAAGAGAGATTTGATAAGATTTCCTCCTTTAAAAAAAAATGATGGTAATGATTTGAGTACTTCTGTAGGTTGGGTAAAGTAGATTTAAGTAGGAAAGAGGCCAAGGGATGAAGCAGTGCATCAAAGTGATTAAGATCTAAGTGCTGGAATCAGACAGGTGTGGGTTCTACCTCTGGCTTTGCCACTCACCGATGGTAGGATTTTGGCCCCACGCCTTGGTTGACTCATTTATCATAGGGCCCATTATACCTACTGTACCTATAACGAGGGTTAAACGAGGTCATAGATGAACTGTACAAGGCACTGGGCTCGTAGATAAGTAAGCATTCAGTAAGTGGTAGCTGCTGTACTTTTTTTATTGTTTGGTAAGGGATGCATTGAGAATGGCAGGCATATGGTAAGGGTGGCTCTAGATTGCTTTGTCTGGAGGTGCGTGGGAGATGGGAGGAGTTTGCCATTTTCAGTGAGTTAGGATGGGATCAAGGATAAGGGGATTGGTAAGGGTATGATAAGGGAGGGTGACAGGGTGGTAAAGATGTGCTGTCACAGTGGGGCACTGTGACTAGAGATAAGAAAAAGGCTGTAGGGCAGCCGTGTGGGCCCAGCTGAAGCTGGAACCGTGTCATGGTGCCAGCTGCATGGCTGGGTGGCTGTATCCCACAGCAGTTGGCGGCCCAGGGGCGAAGCAGAGAAGACAGGAGGGCCAGTCTCATCGGGGCGGGTGTGGATTGACAGGGTGAGTAGTGCAAAAGCAGGGGTTAGAGCAGGTATTTGTGAGCTGTCATTGAAGCCACGGCCAGTGTGCTCCTTGCTGAGGAGCCCAGCAGGGCTCGAGGAATTGGAAACCTTCACAGGTTGCTAGTGGAGGTAGATGTGTGTTTATGTAGAAGAACAAGAAATTGTGTTTAGGGGGTTGTTTGGGGGTTCAGATGTTAAAATTAGTAAATTTCTAGGTGTTGACAAGATCTGGGTAAGGGCAGGTGTTGGTGGCCACGGGGCTGGATGGGATGGGGGATGCCTTTCCTGGTAAGGAGTTTGACAGAGTGGGGTTGGCCAGGATGTCTCCTTCTTGGGGCTTTAGGAAGGGCTTACTTGGAGGAAAAGTGTGTAGTGGACTAACGTTTCAGAGGTCTCCATTAGCTTGAATAGGAAGTGTGAGAAACAATGGAATAGGGCGGGCTGCATATCCACGGGGGAGCCATTGTTGAGATGAAGATCAACCTTGGGGTGCTGTCTACATTCTTGTCAGAATCATCAAGAACAGAGAACTTTATAGCAAAGCTTCCCTGGATTATAGCCTGTTGTCTGCGTGGCCACCACGGGGCCACCCAGGGTCCACACCCGTGTACATATGAGGAGAAGGTGGCGGCTGGGGAGAAATAGTGCTGCCCTGGGAGCCGAGCCGCAGGTTGATGGACAGTTAAATTGGCTTCGCTGCTACCAAAAATGCTGCAGTTCATGGTCTTGTACATGGAATTCTATACCCTTCCAGGTCTATTTTAGGTTTTGTTTTGTTTTTTTTCTCCTGAGATTTGTTCCCTAGCGGTGAATTCTGCTTAGAATCCATTCTCTGGTCTGGAAATGTGATTCCCGGAGTGTGCGTGTTTTGACACCATCCTGTGGTAACGACATGGGTTTCATGGAGGCTGTCACACTGGGGTCTTGCCTGGTACTTACCCTCTTTACTGGGTGTAGGAAAGCCTCATACGTGAGCCTTTGATGTTGCTGGGAAAGGGGTGAGCATCCTGGGTTGTATAGAGAACATGAAAGCTGACGGCTGTGGTGCCCCAGGCTCCTGGGGTTTGACTTTGTTCCTCCCTAACTTCTCCCTTTGGTGTTCCTTTTACAAAATCTGAACCAGAGACTCTAGTGAGGGTCCAAACTCCTCCCCTTGCTCGAGGCAGAGGGTACAACCCCTGAATCCTCCCCAGTCTTCCTCTAAACTCCCTGGGAAAATACCTTTGCTTAGATCCCTGCCTGCAAACCAAACATTCTCGCCTCTGGTCTGCAGAGCAGCCCATTTCACAAACACCTCTGCGGAATGTGGGCTTGAATTGAGATCACCTACTTCGTCAGGATTGGAGCCTGGGAAGAAAAGAGCTGCCTTTGGAAAAGTTTTAGCTGGGTTTGTGGTTTTTACTTGCAAGGCTGGTTAACTGTTGAACTGAGCTTGGAGGTTATATTCCCCACAGGAGGGCTCAAGTTGGGAGAACTAGTCCCACTCTCCTCTGGGCATTTGTGGTTTTAATGAGCTACCGCCCAAAGTGCGTCTTCTCCCTTCTGATCGACTGGCCAGGGCCTGGCAGGGAGCTGGTGTTGGTTCCTGCCAGCAGCTGTGACTGGATGGTGCGGTTACTGTTTATTTAATGTCACCCACTCTCTTCTCCCCCCTGCCTGATGTGGGTGAGAGCGAAGGGAGCATTCTGTTTCAGTTTTACAGTGTGGCCTGGTAGCTCATGATCTGGTACGTAAGAGTTAATTGAGTAAACTGAGATAGAGGCAGAAGTGGGGTGTGAGTTGAGATTTGTGGGACAATACGGTTTTCTTTCTCTGACTATAGGGAAGGTACTTAGAGAATCAATCTCTCTCTCTACACATACACACACACACACACACACACACACACACACACACACATACACATATGAATGCACTCCTTGGGGTTCTCTGACCTGTAGTCTTGGGGAGGGTCAAGTTCCATATGGACTATAGTTATGAATGTGTCTCTCTAGGATGTATAGCATTCGTGAATGAGCTTCAGGACATTCATAACCTCCAACTTGTCTATCATAGTGTGTGTTCATGTTTCTTGAGAGAGTGTCGTAGCTTTCATCAGGTTCTCAGAGGGCTCTCTGGTCCATAAAGGAAAAGAACCTCTGCTTTGGGATTTGAGTCTTGGACTAACGGTAAGAAAAGCCATAGCTGGCATTTGTTGGGCTCCGACTGTCCACCAGGCACCACTAATGGCGTTACATGCATCCTTTCATTTGAGCCTCCAAACCCTGTAGGGAGAGTGTTATGATTGTCTTTTTCTTACTGATGAGGAAGTGAAGGGACAGAGAAGAGCACATTTGAGCGAGCACGATGCAGTTTGCTGGAGCTGGGACTTCCACACAGTCCGATTCTACAACCTTAGATGCTCCTTGGTGGGGCCTCCATGCCAGGCCACATGGCTCCGTAGTGACTCTGGGATGTACCAGTTTAAAGCTCCTTTCCCTTCTTCACTTCACGGCCTGCATTCTAGCATAGCCTTGCACCGGCCCTGCATTGGCACTGTCTCCCTCCTGGTTTCCGCATCTCTGGAGGGGCTGGGGAAGAAGGTTGTCTTTGGGAAGTGGATCTGTTTAATTTTGAATCTTAGTTCTGTGACCCACCTGTCCTCAGTGTAAGTCCTGGACCTGGGGATCCGTAGTCCTTGCCATAGAGTTGCTATGAACATAAAGTAAGTTGACAGTGTACCTAAAAGAACTTTGGGAACCATGAACGCTGTGGGATTGTGTGTCAGGATAGTGACATCTATGCTCTCCTAGGGAGAGTGAGCAGCCTTGGACCTCAAGAGGACAGCGCCCACCTACCTGGTCCAAAGGGTATGAGACCTGGACTTGTTTGTTGTAGCTACCGGTGGTCAAAAGTACACTCTGGACAGAGAGGTGGTGATGTAACTGGACTCTGTGTGTGTATTGAAAAATCCCTCTTTGCTCTTTCCTCATTTCAGGTTTGTCCTTTGAGACAAGTCAAATATTTATCGAGTATTTCTGAGTACAAAAGTAGTGTAGTGCAGAGTTGTGAGAGATGCAGCAGCAGAGTCCCTTTCCTATGGAGTCTGTAGTCTTGTTGATGAGCGAGAACATGTGTGTGTATGAAGGAAGATGGATGGTAAGTGTAAGTGCAGATCATGGTTGGGTGCTGGCTGCTGGAGGGTTTCAGAAGAGGGAGGGAACTCTGGACTTGAAGGATGAAGGAAGGGCAGTTCGGGGTGAAGAATTTGGATGGGTGGAGGGGTGAGGTTGCCGGGTTAGGGATGAACACTGAGCAGGCCGGAGGGTCTGGCAGCAGGATCTGGGAGGGTCCGGCGTTACTAGGAAGATTCTCACCAGCATGAGGAAGATTGATCTTTGGGTGGAATGTTTATGATGGATCAGAAAGGGAAGCTAGATGCTAATCAAGTTTTTGTACAGACTCAAGAGTATTTTATTCTACAGCTCAAATGAAAATTAAATGTGTTATTGATAGTAGTTTTTGGAGAGTTGAGCTGAAATGGGCAGACCACACACCTTGTTTTCCCTATTGGACTTGCCACATGAGGTTTGTATAAGGGGAGTGGGAAGAGCACATGTTATTACATCTCCCTTCTTTTCGCCCCTGCCCTGCATATCTAGCTGGCTTATGGCCATGCGTTGCACATTAAAAGTGCTCATTGCATACTTATTTTTTATTGGATTGGGGAGAACCAGTCTCTGTGTTTTCCACTTTCTTAAGCACCAGCCTTTTTACTTGCATTGCTAGTATCTCCCTCCTCTCCTTTCTGGGGTCCCTGTTGTAAAACTGCTAATTACCAGTATTTTGACCATATGGTAGCAGTTGTGAAGAGTCTGAATCATCCACAAATGGAGTGATTGAAACTCAAATAATTGAAAATAGTCTCTGTGCATTTAAACAAACCAAAAAGCTGTTCAGTCCTTTACATGCAGCAGCTACCATGCTCTTTTCCTTCTTTCTCTTTTTTTCTTTCTGTTTTTCCTATCAACAGTGTAGCATCTGTTCTGATCTTAGGTCCTAAGAGAGACTCGTTGGTCACAGCACTGGGGATGATCAGAGAATACCTCAAAGGGAGGTTGGCTCATGCCATACGAGGCAGTTGCCTTCATTTGTTCCAGAATTGAGTTGAATCATTTCTAAGGGCAGGGGTCTGGGTGGGCAATTTATATCAAGGTTGGGAGGTTTTACTTTCCAACTCTTTATATTGTTTGGTTTTCCCCACCATGAGCATTTAAGCCTTTTATAACTATATATAAAGTTATATATTAAATAAAATAATAATATAAAAATTGGTGATGGTACTATACAAGTAAGTGATGAAGTACAGTTAGAAAATTAAATGCAATTAGAAGTCCCAGTTTATCATTACAGTTTCACAAATATTTTCTAGCTCTTGATGTTTTTCTGCTCTGAAGTCCAAGGAGAATGACGCCCTTAACTCTAGGTTGCAGGTACTCCGTCCGTGTTTCACCTCAGATGGCGAACCGGATTGTGGATTCTGCAAGGAGCATCCTCAATAAGTTTATACCCGACATCTACATTTACACAGACCACATGAAAGGAATCAACTCTGGGAAGTAAGTGCCTGTGCATTTTTGGAACCTAATTCTGCAGCTACCCTAGCCTTTTTCATACTCAACTCTGAGATTGGGCGGGCAGAGGAAGGACAATTTCAGATTTAATTTTCCTTCTGACTTACTGCCATTGCCACCAATAATTCCTATCTCATGGAAAGCATCGCAGTGGCCGGTGCTGGGAGATGAGGGTCCATCCCTACCCTGGGGGAATGAAAACCTAGCTATTTACTAGCAGTGCTTTAAGCTTTAAATTCCATCTGTACTCTGTTCCCACAAAAAGTTAAAGTAAACAAGTTCTTCCACTCTAAGGAAATAACAGTTTAGGCAAAAATCCTTTGTTGGCCAAAGTGCCAGTCAGATTCTCTCTCTGTTGAGGGGAACAACACCCCTGGAGCCAGAGAAAGTTGTTATTGCAGATTGGGTTTGGTTTAATGAAAGCCTTTGTGGAAAACCCCCGCTTTAGAAAATAAAAAGTTAATGATCTATGTTTTGGGCTTTTGTTGTATTTTTAGAAACCAGTTAGGGAAGCAATTAGAACCGTTTTTGTTTGTTTTATTTTTTACTATGAAAATGTTAAACATAAAGAAAAGTTGACCTGAAATTAATATAAAATAATATCAAATATAAACTGTAATTGGGGGAAAAATAAAGAGAACTTGAAAGGATAGTATAGTGAACACCTATGTATTCCTGCTACCTGTAGTTAATGATGAATATTTCACGAAATTTGCTTTACCTGTGTGGGTTTGTTTTTGCTAAAACATTTTAGTGGCAGTATTATTGTACTTCAGATCTGAAGTTTTCAGGTTGTCTCCTAAAAAAAAAAAGAATATCGGGCTCTAAGGTTGATAGTGAGTTAAGAAGTCAATTTTTTCCTAAGTGGTGCTGCAGCTAACCCTTTTCATGGATGTTCCTTCTGAGGCTCCTTTTAACTTCCGCAACAAAAGGAAAGAGAGTTAAGGAGGGTGACTGTGTTACGGGATCTCTGACCTTTGTGAGGCCCAAGGAAAAGATGGTGATTTCAGAAACACCGTAGTGGCTCATAGTCCAAAGTAACAGAGGTGGTGGTGTCAGAGGTGAGAGTTGGGAAAGGATTTGTGTGCAAAGTTGGCCCTTTCCTCTGGGGTTGGAAAGGTCAGTGATGGTCCCAGACCTGTGCATATTGCTCGAATAACACCAGTGTTTTCCTTGTTGAAACTGTGGCAGTGGTAACATCCCTAGGTAGCTGTAAAGATGAAAAGATCACATACGTACGCCACTAAGGCAAGTATGTCAAACTTGAGGCTCATGCTTGCACTAAGCAAAGCCTGGCCCATAGTAGGGGCTGCAGAAATGGTAGCTGCTAAGGCTGTTCTTTCCTTTCTCTTCCCTTGGCCACAGGTCTGGAATTATGTCAGCAGTTAGAATTATGGCCTCAGTATCTACCACAGGGTGGCCAGGGGTGAAGCAGAGCAGGCTTGAGGCCATACTGCCACCAGTGTGGCTTTTTATGACTGACTCAGCTGACCCCAGTGCATGGTCGCACTGTAGGAAGCTCACACATGGATCAAGTTGTGGGTCATCAACTCCAAGCTCCCCTTAAAAAGTTAAAACCCATGTATGATAAGTCCATGTTTAGTTTTCTGAATCTTAAGTTACAGATGATACAGTGTTCTTCCTTCTCTGTTATGAAATTATGAAGTCATGGATGGGTATTATTTTCCTCCTCTGAGTCGGTGAAATATGCATGTCAGTTAGGCCTGTGTTGTGGGGCCAGCAGTTCCTGGTGCCTCTGTCAGTGCTGTGACCAACATGCACATCTGTCCAGGGTGGTATCATGTTGACTCTCACAGTCACAACTTAAAAAAATAAACAACTAGTCCTTTACCAGTTGGAAAGTTTTGGAGGCTGCCACTTGTAAACCGCACCAATGTGCATTTTCAGTGAGGTCACCTGGTGACCAGCTGCTTGGTCACACACCCCAATTGGGGAGAAAATTGGAGTTGTATATATATATAGCCTAATACGTTACCTTGTTTTCTGTAAAACAAATATAATATCAAATGGAACGATCCTGATCAACTATAAAGTTTATTATAGTAAGTCTGCATTCCTCACAGAATTTATATGGGTGAGAAAATTAGGAAGTTCTTGGGAAATTCAGGTAAGTGGGTTAAAGCAGTGATCGGAGCTTATCTCCTAGTTCTCCCTCCCGTCCGTTTCCTACTCTTTCATTTTATATTCCACTGCCTCTCCTGCAGAGTCGGATGTCCCCTCCCTGCTCCTGGTCAAGCAACTCAAAGGCAACTGGAGATTGTGCTAAAATGTCCCATGACGATGGACGGGCGGCACAGTGTTAGATGGTTAAGCATCACACAGAGTTCCCCTGAGCCTTTGATTACGTAGGTAGCTCATTGCACCCCTTCCCTTGGCAGGTGCTATTAACCTTGGACTGCATAGATCATCGATTTAAAAATAAGGAAATAGACAGCTGACCTATAGTGAGCCACTATAGTGAGCTCATAGTGCATTTGAGGCATCGTTAATTTTACACATAGTTTTTCTGAAACAAATATCTTGGCTAGTTTTGCAGAGAGCGCATAGAAGGTGCTTTATGAACTCTGTGTCAGAGGAGCAGATCTGTGTGTGCTGTGTGTGGATGGTGGCTGCTGCTCTTCTCTGGTGACACGTTTACTGAAAAGGCATGAGGCAAAGGAGATTTGAGATGTCAGATCTGGAAGTTTTGTGGAGAGGTGCTTGTGTTTTATTGTTTACGAACTGATTTTGTTTTGTGTCAAACTGGTTGTCACTGAAGTCGGGGAGGGCAGGAACTCTTGTGTTTACCGCAGGGCCCCCAGTTCCTGGCCCATGGCCGCAGGTGCTTGTTGGAATTACGAATGTGGTCCTTGACCAGAAGGGTATTAGGTTCTGGCTGGTAGAAACACAGTGGGAGAGAACATGTGCCAGCTCTTTGATGCTATTAATTGAATTCTGAGTTAGAGATGTCCCTTAGGGACACAAACAAAGGTGAGCCTTGTCTGGGCTCTTCCTGGCTTATGTGGCACTTTTTTGGGGTGCGGGGGGTTGCGGGGGAAGAGCTTGATGTATTCCAAGAGGAGCTGTAATGAGGTGGTCTCCAGGCCACTTACACCTTCTGGGTTGGTTGTGAGGGCTGTGGTAGAGAACTTGGGTAGGCTTTGGAGTCTGGAAGACCTGCATTAGAAACACATCTCAGTCACTTCCTAGCTGTGTGGACGTGGTGCAGGTTGCTTAATTTCCCCATTTCCTCATTTGTAAGATGGGCACATATTACCTACTCAGCAGAATTGTAGTGTCAAAGCCCCTAGGTCAGAAACTGGCAGAAAGTAGGTGCCAACTATCTGGTAGCCCTTGTTAATGCTCCTATAAACTCTCAACAGGATCTTTCACAGTGTGGGAGGGGCTAATAGGAAAAGCGATGTAAACTTGCACCTTCCTTGGTTCTGCCAGGTGCGCTCTCACCAAGTCATGTGTATTTCCAGCGCAAGCTAGTGGGAACTCCAGTAGGGCGTGCTGTAACAACGCAGAGTGCCATGAGAGAGATGTTTGTTTTCTCTTTCCTTTTGCTGGTGCCCGAACCCCACTTCCTTAACCCTACTCAGTGTCTGTGCCTTTGAATCCCCAGGTCTCCAGGCTTTGGGTTGTCACTGGTTGCCGAGACCACCAACGGCACCTTCCTCAGTGCTGAGCTGACCTCCAACCCCCAGGGCCAGGGGGCGGCGGTGCTTCCAGAGGACCTGGGCAGGAACTGTGCCAAGCTGCTGCTTGAAGAAATCTACAGGGTATGTCCTCCGCCTCTGCCAGTCGGGAGAGGAGCCATCAGGAAGCAGTTCATTGTTTCATTCTTGCTCCTTAGCAGCTTTCTTCCCCGTTCAAGGGCTTATGCCAAAGAGTTAACTCTTCCTGCCCATTAAACAGTTTAACATGAACTGGTTTAATGGGTTAGCTGAACTAGTCAGTAAGCAGAGATCCAGTTCCCCTGATTTGGGACAACAGGGCAGGTACGTTTTAACAGTGTGGACACTTAAAAAGCTGAGACAGCGTTATTCGGGAAAGAAAAGGTGTAAAATGAAGCAGGTTAGCCGGTGACTGCCCACTTGAAGAGGATACAGTGCCGCGACCAAAACAGGTGCCATCTCCCAGCTCCCGCGTCCTTGCCATGTGAGGATGGGGGCTCATTGTTTTCAGGTTCTTTGAGGAGTTGGAAATAGGCGATTTGTATGTGACAGTTGTGTCAGATACAAAATAGTGTCAACAGGCTAGAATTTGCAGTGTGTTCTGGAGCATAGAAGAATGTTTAGGGAAGGCAGGCCTGTGTCAGAGCATGGCAGGGGCTTTGGAAAGGTGAGAACACAGGAGGGGGTGACGAAACTGAAGACAAGACTTCATCTGTTGCCATTTGCATCTGCAGCTCAGATCAACCTGGACCAACCTGTCCTCAGTTGTCACAGGTTTTTCTCTGTCAATCCATACAAACAACATGTAGACAGGCATACATACGCTCTTCCTGTTTCCCAAAAATAGTCGAGGTGAGCCCTAACCGGTTTGGCTCAGTGGATAGCGCGTCGGCCTGCGGACTTAAGGGTCCCAGGTTTGATTCCAGTCAAGGGCATGTACCTTGGTTGCAGGCACATTCCCAATAGGGGGTGTGCAGGAGGCAGCTGATTGATGATTCTCTCTCATCGATGTTTCTAACTCTCTATTCCTCTCCCTTCCTCTCTGTACAAAATCAGTAAAAAAAAAAAAAAAAAATAGTTGAGGTGACCTAAAATAAGCAAGGAAGGAATTGGGAGGGAAAGAAAGATGATGGCAGGAGAAATAAGCTGAAGCTGCTTGAAAAAACATTCTTTAAGGTCCCATATACTTGGTTAGAGGAGAGTCACAAATCTGGCCTCAGGATTTCTGGTTGTCTGTATAATCCTTGCCTCGGATCCATGTCAGAAGGTGAAACCTTCTCCTTGACATGCAGAATCCAGGACAGGCTCCCAGGAATGCTTATTTCTCTGCTCTGTTTTTGAGGCCCCACATTCTTGAGCTGAGCACTAGCAAAAACTATACTTTGGGTGATTTGCTATTGCATGGTGTATAGTGTTTGTAAATTGTCTTTTCTCTTCAGCTGAAGAGCCTTTCATCTCTGTATTTATCTGTGTATTTAGTCTCAGTTAGTTGATATTTCTGTGGTTCTTTCCTGAAGTCTCCAAGGAAGCTTTGCCCTGTTTAAAGTAGCAAAAATCATATGTGAGCCCTAACTGGTTTGGCTCAGTAGATAGAGCATCGGCCTGCGGACTGAAGGGTCCCAGGTTCAGCTCTAGTCAGGGGCATGTACCTTGGTTGTGGGCACATCCCCACTAGGGGATGTGCAGGAGGCAGCTGATCCATATTTCTCTCGCATTGATGTTTCTGACTATCCCTCTCCCTTCCTCTCTGTAAAATATCAATAAAATATATTTTAAAAAAAGATCATATGTGAGCCCTTATGAAATAAAAGAGGTGATTTTGTTTTATTTTTAAATACTTTTTGTCGCTGTAATTTCTTAATCATTGTGGTAGAGTGACGCCTGGTTCATGGGTATTGATCCCTGCACAGGCCTGGTTAAGGAAAACAGCCTACAGCCAAGTCTTCTCCCGGTCCAATCACCGTTCTCAACAATACCTCATTGGTTGCAAGGTGGAACAAGTAAGAATGAACTGCTTCAGAGTTCACTAAAATGTCCAGGTCTTAATGGTTTTAATTAATGTTCATCTAATTAAAATGGAAGACAAAGGACCTATAATTGTGTCTTCAGCGGAGTGACTGTACTCCCTGTCCTCACCATTCAGCTAGCAAATAGTGGCGGAAAGAAATGCCCTCTCAAATGAAATCCTCCTGCAGGAGGAAGTATCTTCTCACACTACTTGTGTGGCCAAAGGCTGGCCTTAGCTTTTTTGATGCTAAATCAGCCCTGTGTTTGATGCTTAATTTAGTGATTTTTTTTGAAAGATGAATAGTAATTAAAAGTTGGGAGTAAATAAATGATCAAGAGCTTACCATGTCACTTAGTTCAGGAAGTTAGTCATCTAGACCAGCGGTCGCCAACCTTTTGGATCTCATGGACCGTCTGGTCCATGGACCACTGGTTGGCGACTGCTGCTCCAAAGGTTTCCTTAAACCAGCAGTCGCTAACCTTTCGGACCTCATGGGCCACCAGTGGTCCGAGGACTATCAGTTGACTACAGACGGTGCATGTGATCCATGCGTCCCTAAGCCCCTGGCAGCTGGTTCAGGTTTCCCTTCCTTGTGGCTTGCAGGCCCTCTGACCGTGGGGACCCTCCCATCTCTCTCCAGTAGACCTGGGGGAATTGGAAGCATCACATTACAGAAGAGCCCAGCTGGAGGGAGGGTTCTGTATCCTCATAAATAGCACGTTATAGGCCTCGGGGTGAAAGCAAGGCCACAGAGAGAAAACATGCAATCTGGATTAAGTTATTTTATTTTCCCCCCTTTACTCTAGTTAAGTTCTACTTAAAACCATTTCATTGTGCCTACACCAAGTTTGTTTGTTCTAATCATTAAGAAAATTTCTTTTGTGTGTGTCTATGGCAGGGGTGGGCAAACTTTTTGACTCGAGGGCCACATTGGGTTCTTAAACTGGACCGGAGGGCCGGAACAAAAGCATGGATGGAGTGTTTGTGTGAACTAATATAAATTCAAAGTAAACATCATTACATAAAAGGGTACGGTCTTTTTTTTTTTTTTTTTTTAGTTTTATTCATTTCAAACGGGCCAGATCCGTCCTGTGGGCCGTAGTTTGCCCACGGCTGGTCTATGGTCTTTAGTTGTTAAAAGGATGAAAATGCTTCATGTTCTTATGAATAATTCTTTATATGTCTGTGACATGACATGGTTTAAAAGAATAATAAAAACATGTCCCCTTTGAAGGTACTGTTTATTTTTATCAACATTATAGTCCTCTGATCTAATCCCTCTTGTTCTATTTATGTCTCATCAGTTACCAACCAAGTCCTCTTGATTGTGTTCCAGGCTTTCTGAAACTGCTTTTTCTGTTCATCTTTTAAGCTGCCTCTGTCTCCTACCCCCCACCCCACCCCCAACTCCTGTCCCCACCACGTGTGCTGCTGTCCCCACTTGCAGGAGTGGGAGTCCTCTCCTGACCTTCTCCAACATGCCCTTCTGTCTAAATCTCTTGAAACACTTAACAGTCTATGAAAGGAGCAAGTTTTGTAAAAACACTTTCATTGGTCCTCAGATTCTCCATGGGTTAGAGTTTTTTGTTTGTTTGTTTGTTTGTTTTTTAATGGAAATACGTATGTTACACCTCTTGTCCTAACATTGGCTTAGAGCAGCGGTTCTCAACCTGTGGGTCGTGACCCCTTTGGCGGTCGAACCACCCTTTCACAGGGGTTACCTAAGACCATCCTGCATATCAGATATTTATATTACAATTCATAACAGTAGCAACATTACAGTTATGAAGTAGCAACGAAAATAATTTTATGGTTGGGTCACAACATGAGGAACTGTATTTAAAGGGCCAGATGGTTGAGAACCACTGGCTTAGAGAGAAATAATTGCCCTTTAAGGTAGTTTAGGAAGAGCAGTAGATTTTCATAAAAGCTGGCAGTAGGATAAGCCCCCTTATTTTCCTGCTCAGTTGTAAATGAGATCTGATGGCAAAGAGTGACTGTTTGTGCTGATAATTGATTTATTCCCTACACTGCATGCATTTGAGAGAGGTTGCCTGGCTGGTGTGGCTTAGTGGTTGAACATCATCCCCATGCACCAAGAGGTCGCCGGTTCGGTTCCCAATCAGGGCACGTACCTGGGTTGCACGTGCAGGAGGCGGCTGATTATGTTTCTTTCTCTCTCATCGTTTCTCCCTCTCCCTTCTCCTTTCTCTAAAATCAATAAAAACTTTTTTCTTTTTTTTTTTTTAAGAAGAGAGTGGCCACGTGTTCTGTTTAAAGTCTGGGAGTCTGGGCTTGGATAGTGATGTGCCATCATCAGAAACTGGGTTCTTTTTGTGGCATGTACAAAATACGTAGAAATTCAAGGTCATCCCACTTTCACTGTGTACAATGTAAGTTTGAATTGTTTTAAATAAAGTTATCTCAGAAAGAATGATCAGAAAGACTTTTTTGTGTTTGCTAATTCTCACCTGAGGATACGTTTTTTCCATTGCTTTTCAGAGAGAGTCGGAATGAGGGAGGGAGGGAGGGAGGGAGGGAGGGAGGGAGGGAGGGAGGGAGAGAGAGAGAGAGAGAGAGAGAGAGAGAGAGAGAGAGAGAGAGAGAGAGAGAGAAAGAAACACCGATGTGAGAGACACATCGACTGGTTGCCTCCCTGCACATGCCCCAATGGGGGCAGGGAGTGAACCTGAAACCCAAGTACATGCCCTTGACTGGGATTCGAATCTGAGACCCTTTGGTGTGCAGGCTGACACTCTAACCACTTCAGCAACACTGGCCAGAGCAATAAAGACATTTTTAAGGCACACATATAAACAACAGTCATGCATGCATGTAGTAGAAGCAGAATGGCTGAAATGGTCAGGAAACCCAAGAATGAAAGAAGAAAGGCAACCAAAACAATCCTCAGGAGAAAGTTTGTGAAGATTCTGTTGTGCTTATCGATTTGGGAGAAAAGGAAGGAAAAGTGGCGGGAAATAGTACATAAGTAGTAAGAATGGAGAAATCTGGTCTTAGTAATTCTTCAGTTAAAGGTGCACAGGAAGAGTCACAAGGAGACACTAATGTAACTTGACAAGCAGTTTTGAATGTGATGGGATAAGTTTTAGGCTAAGGCCCTTTCATGCCAGATTGACTGTGGTGTTCCCTGGCAGATTAAATAAACAAGCCGCATCCACCTCACCCTTGTTAATGACCTGTACATTTCCTGGAACTGATTATGCTTTTTTTGTTTATGTGTCCTGCTGCTGCTGCCGCTTTAATTACGGAGGGGAATTTTTATTTTTCCTTAGATACACCTCAGTAAACTTGAATGTCTATTTATTCTGATGGTCTCAGCTAATACAATTGCTTTGATGACCAGTTAGTTTAACCCCCCAAAGTTAAGTGATACAAGGATTCCTCTGAAAAGACTTGTATTCTGTTTTATTATTGCTTGAACTTTGCAATCTGCTCTTCTGTGGTTCTGATACTCTGGGTATTTGTGACTGTTTCCTTGGTTTTCCATTCTCTGGTTGGTATAACGACTAATCTTGAAAGTGTTTGTATTTATAGGGTGGATGTGTGGACTCGACCAACCAAAGCCTGGCTCTGTTGTTCATGACCCTTGGGCAGCAGGACGTTTCCAAAGTCCTGCTAGGACCGCTCTCTCCCTACACGTGAGTTGTTTTCGCTCAGCCTCATTACTGCTGTCCAATTTAATCTTCCAGTTGCATGACATGATAAAAGTGCTGGACTGTGCATAGCCTATCACTATGAACACCTGCTTGGACTGATCCTGGAATGAGCTGGAGGTTATCAGTCTTAACCTGGTGTTTAGCAGGCATCTTGCCTTCCTTTCTCTTCTGTAGTTGCATTATTCCCATGCCATTGAAGTTGTGTGGTATATTAGACAGTTCTTTTGTCTGTGCTTTAGATTTTTCTCATTTTGGAGGTAATCTGGTTCCATTATAACTTAGATTTTGTTAGGTTTTTTTTTTAATCCCCTCTTTTCCCTACCCATGGCAAATAGGGCCGTCTTTTTGTCCAACATGATAGGGTATAAACTGGCTGGAAAAAGGAAAAAAGAGGCAAAGTCTATAGTAATGCCATTGGACCAGTGGGGATATTGTAAAAGTGAGTCTGAGGCCATTGGATGTTATCAGAAGATGACTCCTGAGGCATTAAAGCAAGCGCTCTACAAAAAGAGCAGCCGATGAGAAGACGGATGGATTGTTTGTTAACAGCACAGTGGAAGCAGCACTTCCCATAGGTAGCAGATGAGCTTGCTGTAAGCAGCCTGTTTGAGCCCTGACCTCTGGGTGTGCGTCCATGTGCTCGAGATCATGACATGGCCATCTGTGGGTGGGGCGGGAGTGGGCCTGTGTGGGAGGAGACACTCAGGTAGATATAGACTGAACTGTCCTTTTTCGGTTATCATGGTACCGATGCTGTATATCTGGAAGGTACAGTACTGTGATAACTGAAGAATGGTGGTGCCATCACATTGAGTAAGGGGCCAGCACTGCGGAGGGGCCATTGTACCTCTGGAACATCGCTTGGGGCGCATGGAGACCAGAAGCTTGAAAGAGATTGTTTTGGAGGTTTTTTTATTTGGAGTTGGTGGTGGGAGGTTTTTTGGAACATGGCAATGGAAGAGAAGACACTCTGAGCAGTGGGGGAAGACTGATAAGCAGGAAGCTAGTGAGGAACCACATTATCTGCTAACAGTTGTAAAATATTTCATGGGACAGGCACCTGAAATCGAGTAATCCTCAGTGGAACACTAACACCAGGGATCAACATTGCTGAAACAGACTTTGTAGCTAAGGTGTTTGGAGAGGAGGCGAGGGAGCACACACAGGGCCTGAGTGCAGAGCTTCACTTCCAGTAGAGCCTTGGCTGGAAGCGCTGACTGCTCTGTGACCACCAGGCCCCTTCAGCCAACTCTCTTGCTGCTGCTGCCGCTGCAGCCTTCCCAGCCCCTGCTTCAGGGCAGCGAAAGCCTGACCGCTCACACCGCTTGAGGCAGTCTCTAGATGTGTGTGGTCGTGGGGCATGGGGTTTGGCAGAACATTATGTGCAAAAGGAAATCTATATTTTTAGTTTTCCTTGACCCTTTTTTTTTTTTTTGGCTCTTAGAGATTTTTTTTTTCAGTTTGGCTACAGGGCCTTTATAGTTTTTTTCAAGTCAGCAGTCCCTGTGGAGATGGTCAAGATGTGCCTGGATTTTTTTTTCAAGTTCCTGTATCCTCCTCATATACCCCCTCACCAAACATTAATTGCAGTCTTCTCTTCCAGAAACCTCGTCTAAAATGACTGCATCTCCCAGGAAAACAAAGTGGTCTGCTCTGAATGGAGCTTTACAGGCCTGGGGCAAATAGCAGAATTGTGTTTGAAACTTGGGGCTATGTTTCTCTGGGTTTCCTGCCTCCTGGGGTTTCACGAAGGAGGGGCTGCCATGGGGTGGACAGCACCGCCTCCTTTCTTTTTGGTAAGCGAGCACACGGTGGTGCAGGAGGTTGTAAGGAGTTTATTTTTGAAAGCTGTATCTGTTTGGGAACCTTGTTGCTTGTTATCATTGTGGAAGGCTCCAGGAATCCAGAGTGATGAAGGGCAAAGGTGGAAAGAAATAGATGTCCTTCTAGGACCAAATAGACAAAGTTATCATCGTATTTGTGAGTACAGCTTAGGATGAAAAAGGCACAGAATCTGTAGTTAGTATAATTGTGGTGGCAGGTGGGGATCCTAGTTGGATTCAAGAGTTTTGGAGACCAAACTCACTTATTTTTATAAAGTATACTTAAAGTCATAAAAATCTACTTTTTGAATTCTCAAATTTCTCAAGAAAACTAGAATCAAGAAATGTATTTCTTGTGGCAGTTTTCACATTCTGATTTGTTTAAAAAGTTTTTTAAGTTTTTTTTTGTTTTTTTTTATAGAGCATGGGATTAAGGGGGATGTGTTTTCTTATAGTATTGCTTTGAAACCCTTTCTGGAAAATAAGGGTGTCTGTTCTTCCCTTTATTCTTCCCTCTGTCTTACTTCTGTTGCTGGTTTCCTGTGTTACTTGAGAAAGCACATCTATATGTGTGAAATCTTTTGGGAAGGCCAGAGAGATGTTTTTCAGAAGAATAAAATAGTATTGGCTAACATGCTGGTATGCGGAAAATCTATTTCTGTTCATTTTGTTGAGTTTCAGGTAGTTTACAATTGGTGACAGTGATTCCACCTTCCCCTGAAAAAGCTTAATATTACAGTTTAGGGAGGATTTATACTTTATTTAAAAGTGGAATTAACAGCAAGAAAATCACACTTTCACAAATTATCTGATTGGAGACTGCAGTTACATGTTGTCAGTACATGGTCGTGGAAGTGCAGCCTCCCTGATTTCAGTGCTAGCTCTCCTGGGAAACACCGGGTGACAGCATGTAGCATCTCTGAGCCTTGGTCTTATCTGTGGAGAAGGTGAATGGTCCTGAAGTCGGGTTTGTGGAGATGGAGCAAGGCTTAAAAAGGTCAGGTACTTAGTGCTCCCAGCCAGCAATGCAGTGGGCCTGGCAGAGCCCAATCAGTGCTGGACACTGCAGTTTCCGCCTGGGTACGCCCTTGCCGTGCCCCAGCCTGGGAAAACCCAATCTCCTGTTAAGGTCACTCTGAACACCAGGAGGCCCAGTAAACTTGCTTTGGGTTATCTCAGGCCTGAAGTCAGCTGTGAAGTGTTTGCTCAGATATCTATAAATCTGTGTCCATTAATTTTTAAATTTATGACCAACTACCGCAGTCATATTGCTAAATAAACAACACACATCTCACTTACTGTTCCCAAGAACTCTGTAAGGTAGGTGTTTATTTAACAAACACAGTATTTACTGCTGGCCCAATGTTTTAAGCACTTGACAAATGCGAACTCATTTAGTTTTCATCATAACCCTAGGAGGTTACTATTGCACACTCCATTTTACAGGTGTGGGGACTGAGGCACAGAGAAGTTGAGTCATGTGCCAAAGGTCACATAGTCAGCAAGTGGAGTTCAGAGCCAGGCAGTCTTGCCCAGAGTCCATGCTTCCCTGACCCACTGCTCTTATGCAAGTGCTGGGATTCCGCCCCTGTTGCTGGACTTCAGACACCTCCCTGCCCGAGGCAGGATGCCATTCCACGCCTTTCCAGAATCCTCAGTTCAAATTATGCAACAAAATGATCTCCTGTCTTTACTTGCAGTCTAAAATGAACCATGCCTCTTCGGTTTTTCGTGCCGGCCAAACCTGCAGCTATTTGGGTTCAGTTGTTTAAGTGCTCTCCTCAGCTGGCAGGGTACCACTCCCCCTGACAGTTGTGATTTAATTGTGTTTAAGTGCTGCAAAGCCCTGTCACCTTTATTAAACTGTTTGAGCCGCAGACCATATTTGGCATATGGTAAAAGCAAGTGATGTCTTTACTTTTTGGATGAGCAAGAGAGTTCAGGGACCTGCTCATAGTGAGATTTTAGCCAAAGTTGTCCTGGGACCCACATCTCCCAACCATGCAACCAGCCTGTCTGTCTCCTTCTGTCTTTATAACCGAGTTTGTTCTTAGAGCAGAGGCCAGCTGGGCTTTGGGAAAGCCTCTGTCTGGAGAAAGAGCATCGCCGATACATTTAAAGCTGTGGTGTAATGACTACAGGGGCCCCATCCAGCAGATTCTCTTCTCACCCCCAGGTCTCTTACCCCTCCTTAGACCTGAGAAGTAGGTAACCCCAATATCTGAGTGGTTTGGTGGAGCAGGAATCAAGACCCTCTGTTGTGGTTTGTGTTTGTGGAATTGAGAGGGGGGGAGGGGGGAGCGCGTGCGCGCGCACTCCCCATGATTGCTTTCACCTCCACTCTCCAGCAGACATCAGAAGAGGGACCTGGTGAGAGGTGCTGTATTTTAAGGGGCAGGGCCTGGCACCTGGTCAATCCTGGGCAGTTGGGATTCAAAGGATAGATGACTTTGAGCCCAGTGGCTGTCACCTGTTGATCAACAGTGCTGGTGGGAACAACCTACTCTTGGAAGATATACGGGAAAAATTATCTCTGTTTTCCAGGATTCTCGAAACCTGCTTCTCAGGTGGCCTGGAGGCTTTCATGGTTCTGGGTTTTTTGTTTTTTTAGATAAGTCACTTTGTATTAGGAAAAAAAGTTTACTACAGATTTAGTTCTCTTAAGTCCTTCTCACGGGAATTACAGTCCCAGCTGCCCAACATGGTTGGTCTAAAAAGTTGCCAGTTACACTGCGCAGGTGGGCTGTCCTCTCTCTCAAGGCTCTGCGTGCATGGCTCTCTTTTGCCTGGCTGTGCGGCCATGTGGTTGTGTCTGGGAAGTGTGGATCTACAGAATGGTGCTTGGAAGAGAAGGAAAGGGAAGAGGCGGGGCCTGGTGGGGCCTGTGCTTGGGGCTGTGGAGAAGGATGTGGATCAGCACCGGATGTGACCTTTGCTCACTGCGTGTGTATGTGGGGCGAGTTTATTCTCTGTTTGCTTTTCATTTTCTTAAAGAGACTTTGCTAGGATTTAATATTGTCTGTGGTTGTTTCTCGGCTCTGAGCATGTTTGATAGCTGGAGGTAGGAGGACATTCTGAAGCATGCCTTAATCCAGTCACTTACAGAGTCTTCCTCAGACAGGCCATTGGCAGAACATTGTGTAAAAAGTGGAACCGACTTTGCTTTTTCTAACGATTCCAAAGGCTACAAATACCTCAGAGCTGCAAATATGTAGGCCTGCACACTCAAACCTGTGTTTCTCCATCCTTCTCCAAGAGATCTGAAGCAAGCTGAGGCCTCTTAGGAGTTCTGCCAGCTGGTGGGTGTCTGGTTTTTCCAGCACAGTTGAACGATTCAGAGTGAAGTAGGCTGGGGAGGCTCTGGTAGCAGGCCTGTATTAGAGCCCGGTCAGCAGTGAGAGAGAGAGAGAGAAAGAGAGAGAGAGAGAGAGAGAGAGAGAGAGAGAGAGAGAGAGAGAGAGAGAGAGAAAGAAAGCTGCTGTTTCCTCCTCAGAATGCAGATGAGTGGGTGAGATGCTGGCTTTGTCTGCACTGCTGCCAGCTGGAGACTTTGCCCACAGATGTGGACTGTTTATCTATGGGTGTGATGTTTTTCTTTTTTTCCTAGGACAGGGTGGGGTGCAAAAACCTGAAAATTGGTAAGACAGGAAAGGCAGCAGGGAAAGAACTGACTTCCCTTAATTGCTAAGTCATTTCTCAAAATTAGTCCTAACTCCTAAATTCTATTTCTTGCCTCATTAGTGAATGCCAGACATAATGCCTATCATGTATAATGGGTTTCAGTGGAGAGAGAGGAATTGGCCCTGGCCGGGTAACTCAGTTGGTTAGAGCATTGTCCCGATATGCCAAGGTTGCAAGTTCAGTCTCTCATTAGGGCACGTACAAGAAGCAGCCAATGAATGTATAAATAACATTGGTTGTGGAACAGCAAATCAATGTTTCTCTCTCCCCCCCGCCCTTCCTTTTCCCCTTCCCCCTGCTCTCTCTCTAATTTTTGAAAAGAGGTGATGTCTGGCTGGTGTGGGTCAGTGGTTGAGCATCGACCCAGGAACCAATAAGTCACTGGTTTGATTCTGAGTCAAGGCACATGCCTGGGTTGCAGGCTCCATCCCCAGTAGAGGACATGCAGGAGGCAGCAGATCGATGATGTTTCTCTCATCAATGTTTCTATCCTTCTCCCTTCCTCTCTCTCTAAAAATAAATAAGTGAAAAAATTTTTAAAAAGAAGTAAGAAATTTTTGTGTGTGCATGTAGCACTTATCAGCAATACTCTCCAGGGAGTTCCTGTTTCATTTCTTAACCACTGGCATGCCGGTCATGTCAGCCAGATAGGGTGAGGAATTGTTTAGGCCCCCTTTCCTCCTTTTTGTCTTTCTCTACTTTGACTAGATTGATTAGGACAGAGGGACAGGAAGGGGTGGGAAATTCATTGCAGAAGGCATTATATTGAGTTTGGTATATACTCTGAGGGTATGAGCCGGGATCAATACTACTTTTTAACTTCACAAATATATATTATTTATTTAAGTAGCTTTTTTGAAATATAATTCATATACTACCTTAAAGTGTACCACTCAATGGTTTTTAGTATATTCACAAAGTAAATATAACTACCATCTAATTTTAGAACATTTTCACCATCTCGGAAAGAAACCCTTTACTCATTCATGGCTCTGTCCCATTCCTCCCAATCCTCCCAGCCCAAGGCAATCACTAATCTGCTCTCTGCCTCTATAATAGAGTTGCCTGTTCTGTCCATTTCATGTAAATAGAATCATACAATGAGTTTCTTGGTGACTGGCTTCTTTCACTTAGCGTAATGTTTTCTAAGTTCATCCATATTGTAGCATGTACCTGTATTTTGTTTCTTTTTATGGCTGAATAGTATTCCATTGTATGGATGTACCACATTTTGTTTATCCACTCATCAGTTAATGGGCATTTGAGTTGTTTCCACTTTTTTACTATTATGAATAATGCTCCTTTGAACATTTGTGGACAAGTTTTTGTGGGGGTGCATGTTTTCATTTCTGTATATACCTAAAAGTAGAATTCTTGCATCACATGATAACTCCTTGTTTAACATTTTGAAGAACTGCCAGACTTTTCCACAGTGGTGACCATTTTTTATCTGACCCACTCATAACCATTTTATTGGGTGTGAAGTGGTATCTCATAGTGGTTTTGATTTCCACTTCCCTAATAACTAATGATGTTGAACATGTTTTCATGTGGTTATTGGTTATATGGATATCTTTAGAAAAATGTCTTTGCAGATCCTTTACCCATTATTAAATTGGGTTATTTGGATTTTTATTATTGAGTTGCAAGAATTCTTTATATATCCTATATACTAGACCCATATCAGATATATGATTTAAAATATTTTCTCCTTGGGGACTGTATTTTCACTATCTTGATAGTGTCCACAAAAGGTTTTAATTTTTATGAAGTCCAATTTATTCATTTTTTTCTTTCATCATTCTGCTTTTCCTGTTGTGTCTAAGAAAACACCACCTAGCCCAAGATCATGAATATTTACTCCTGTTTTCTTCTGTGAGTTTTATAGTTTTAGCTCTTACGTGCAGATCTTGGGTCAGTATTGAGTTATTTTTTATGTATGATGTGAAGAAAGGGCCTATGTGAAGTTGTTCCAGCACCATTATTGAGAAGATTATTCTTTTCCTGTTGGATTATCTTGGCACCCTTTTTGAAAATCAGTTGAATGTAAATGGGTTATTTCTTGACTCTCAATTCTGTTCCCTTGACCTGCATATCAGGATAAGTATTTTGAAAGCTCCTCGGTTGATCCCATGTACATTCAGTGCTGAGAACTATCTGGCCCGGGTAGGGAGTTTGGATGGTTTGATTGGCAGCACAACACAAGATTGCTGGAATACTTTTATTTCAGGTATACAGACCATCTGTTCCTAACTAAACCAATGTTTTTCAAACTTGCCTGATAAAAACCATCAGGGGTGCTTGTGAATAATAGCTTTCTGGCTCCTCTGTACTGGAGAGACAGGGCCTGGAAAAGGGTGGGAAGGGGGACTCTTTACATGTGCCTGTGATTCTGGGCTCTTCCACATGGATATGCCTTCCCCATCAGTTGCCAGTGGATCAGAGCCTTCAGGAACCTGTATGATTAATGAGTTCTTCAGGTGGGTCTTATAGGCCAGCCCAGGAGAAGCCTACATACTCATATCGTGGTCCTGCCACAGATTTGCTGTTCCCAAAGGTACTCTTGGGGTGAAGCCGTAGCTCTGTCTTAAGGGAGACGACAAGAAACAGCCTCATGAAACTTCTTGCCATATTTACTGTGAGCATTTTCCTGGCCACCTTACTTAATATTGCCTCCTTCCATGTACACACAGATGTTGTTATACCCACATTTCCTCCTCATCTGCCTTGTTTGCTATTTAAATTTCCCCTTTCAAGAATAGTTAACTTCCCTTGTCTGCCCCATTAGATTGAAAAATGTCATGTGAGAAGGGATTTTTAGATGACTGCATCATCTCCTGCACCAAGAACAGTGCCTGACACATTGTAGGCATTCAGTAAATATTTGTTAACTGAGTGGAAGGGGGTTGTCGAGGTTGAGGAATGAAGAGACACATCTCTGTTTTGGCGTCAGCAGTAGTCATTCTGCTTTGGTTTTACTGCATGACGCTGTGAATCGTGACAGTATGTGTTTCTCTCTTTGCAGGAGCCACTCAGAGTAATGCCACATTTATGTCCACTGTAACACGGGTCCAGGACAGGACTTAACCTGTTGTGTACTAACCTCTAACATTATTTCTTTAAGCCATCTGCTTGTATTGTGTGCATCTCTACACATACACAAATCCTCTTTGGAAGCTGGTAGGCTATAAAGGAATATTATTTAATCAGCTTGATGAGAATGGCTTAATTTTGGTCATTCCTCTTGATTTGAAATTGAAAGCTTGGGTTCTAGGTGGAGGAGAACTTTAAATAAAATCAAATTCTGCCTGGCTGGTGTGGTTCAGTGGTTGAGCGTCGACTTATGAACCAGGAGGTCACGGTTTGATTCTGGCTGATTCCCATTCAGGGCACATGCCCAGGTTGCAGGCTCAATCTCAATTGGGGGGCGAGCAGGAGGCAGCCAATCAATGATTATCTTTCATCATGGATGTAGCTCCCTCTTTCTCTCTCCCTCTCCCTTCCTCTTTGAAACAAATAAAAACATATTTTAAAAAAATCAAATTCCTCTTTCATTCTTCCCCTTTTTTATATTTTAGGATAGAATTTTTGCGGCATTTGAAGAGCTTTTTCCAGATTATGTTTAAAATTGAGACCAAGCCGTGTGGCGAAGAACGCAAGGGCGGGGATAAAGTGCTCATGACCTGTGTTGGCATTGGCTTCTCCAACCTTAGCAAGACCCTCAAGTGATGCTGTCACAGGATCAAAGGCCCCAACGCTTACAGACAAAGCAGAAGCTGCCAAGGACCCAGAGGGACTAAGTCCAAACAGGGCAGCAGAGCCTCGGGTATTGAGGCCTTTCTTCACTTTCCATTTAAAAACAATCAGAATATGCAAATAAAAGACATTTTATATCATGTGGTTTCCAGCCATTTCTCCAGTGGTATTGCCATTCCTCAGGAGGCCTGTCACGATGTGCTCCCTTCGCTTACCTGGACAAAGAACAGGCCTGCAGGACACAGTCACGCTGCTAGACCATCAGCACAGCTCCATGTCAGCCGTGCTTCCTCGGCCCACATCCCTGGGCTCCTGTCGTGTGGCCGTTTTCCAGACCTGTGGCATCTGTTACTGTTCTTTCTGCAAGGATGGACCTGTTTGAACCTTGGTTCCTGTGAAGGGATTAAATGAGACAATCACAGTGGAAACTCTTTATGAGTAATGCAGTGTTATGCAAATTTCAGAAAAAAAACCAAAACCGGTATATGAGACCATTTCATCCCTCATCGTCGGATTGGACTTGGCTGCCTTGGAGACAGATTCTGCTCCCTGTTTGTTTCCTTGTGTGTGTGGGGATGAGTGCCTGGGGGTTGGGGGGTTGGGGAGGAAGGGGTCCAATTAAAGTTACTGGATATTTTCTCTATCTCAGTTGTGCTATACATTTTCTTATTCTCATAATAACTCTAATGTAAAATTTATTCCCTCCGCAAGAATATTCAAAAAGGATATTTTGTTCCTTTGAAATTTATAATGTTAAGACATTAGACCACCTGACTTAAAGATCTTCGTGTAATAATGTCAGAGTCTGGAATTTTGCCTCACGTGTAAGCTAGGAAGTTAGATTATTAATGTTTCATGGATGCTAGCAGAATACACGAGAGTCCTCACTCAGAGTCAGAGAACTGTCCCTCAGAGCACAGCGAGCAGCATGACTTCATGTTTGTGTTGCTCCTCCTGTTTCCCACGTCCCACATGGTGACGTGGAGGGCCCAGGAAGATGCCATTCACACAGTGGGTTGCATCACAGGCAAGGCACATGCGTGCTTGGGGACCCTGCCCCCTCAGCACACCTGCTCTTGTTCCAGGTGTGGACATGACTTAATCTCTCCAGATTGCTTGCAGTGAACACAGTTATGAGAAGGGGTCCAGGTAAAGGCCTCCCCAGCACGAATGTCTAGGAATACTAAGGGTTGCAGTTAAGGCATTGGAGTTGGTAGAAGGGGGAAGATCTAATTCTATTAGGATTCCAAGTGGGATTCCCCTCCTGGGGTGGGCTTTGGAAGTATGAAAAGTCTTTGCCTCCCTAATCCTCTTGGCACCCTTTTCTTTTTCAGTGAACGGGGCCTGAGCAAGTCTGTTGTTATGACTGGGGTGCGGGAGGATGTGGCGATGGAGGCTAACATTGAGGAAAGCCAGACCATTTTGAACTGTGCACTCTACTTGCTGAGAGCTTCCCATGCTGTATTAGTTTCTGTGGCTGCATACCACAAACTTAGCAGCTTAAAATAATAACACATTTATCATCTCACAGTTCTGGAGGTCGGAGGTCTGGGTGGGCTTGGCTGGATTCTCTGTTAGGGTCTCACAGCTGATGTCAAGGTGTCAGCCAGTGCTGAGAATGTGCTTCCAGGTCGCTCAGCTGGCAACATTCAGGTTGTAGGACTTGAGGTCCTCATTTCTGGCTGGGTGGGGCCAACTCTGAGCTTAGGGAGACTGCACCCTTTTCCCATAACTTGGTTCGCCCAGTCTTCAAGCCAGCAGTGGCGCATCAAACCGTCTTGTTGCATCAGATCCTTCACGTGCTTTGAATCGATAACTTCCTCTTGTACGGGCTGAGGAAAACATTCCTTTTAAATGACTCAGATCGCTGTTCCCCCTGGATAGCCTTCCTGTCTTCAGGTCATCTGATCATAGCATACCTAGATCAGAGTTTGACTGGCCAGGGGATGGGAATCTGTCCATCACCTGAGGATTCTGCATACCTCACACGCTGAAATCTTATTTAGCGCTGCTGACGCTTGAGCCCAGATCTTGCAATGTTTGTCTACAAAACTAAGGGGCCGCATGTCACATACTCCTCTGCAGGAGTGTTCGTCCTGTAAAAGAAGCTGTGGCAGTGGTACTGTTGGTCAATTTAGGGTGTCATATGGACTCCAGGCAGGTCATTGCAAGCGGCAGAAGGAGCGTGTGCCCCTATCTGCTATAAACACAGAAGTGGCTGTTGGTTTCCAGCCTCCCATCTGGCACAGCTGCTTTTGGAGTGGCAATATCTGGCAGTAGTGGTGATGATATGGCCAAAGAAGAGGACACATTTAATATTTAAACAGCCTGCTCCCAGCCCTTTTTCTGAAATGCCCAAGAGGAGCAGCACCACTCTTGGGAAGAAGCCATCCTGTGCAGGTGCTGGCACATCTTCATGACAGTCAGCTCCTATGGCCTCAGCCTTGTTCTTAGCTTAGCTCCTGATTGGTCCAGCTACCCCCGGGGTAGTTTGATGAGAGATTCCAGCATTTGGGGCTTGGTTTTCTGCCTTGGCTTATCTGCTCCCTCAACAGAGATAGAGCACTCTGAGATAGACCCTCAGTGAGACTAGTGATGGGGTTTTTTGTTGTTGTTTTTTTAAAAGCATAACCTTATTGGGGTCATGGGAGAATCATTGCCTTTACCTTCCTGTCATTTACCAGGCCCTGCTTCGCCTGTTGACACCTTTCAACTATATTCTGTGTAGACACCAGCTAGCCCCCCTCCATCATCATCATTGTGTTGCCATCTTCATCAAGACAGTTGATAAGGGGTGGAGGAAGCTAGGGCATTGCAACATGCCATGCTGATGGGGAAAGAGCAACAGGAGACTCTGTGGAAATCCAAATTACCGTCATAAGGCAGCTAAGCCTCATGGGGTTTTGTTTTATCTTTTCTGATAAAAAGTGGTGAAGGACATCACTGATTACAGACTCAACCAAAAAAAAAACAACAACCCAAAACTTAAGTTGCAGCGTGACCCTGTCCTCTCAGTCCCTCTACAACTAGAGACCAGGTGGTGGCCGCTTTCCATTAGGTCATTGGTATTGGGAGGCTCCCAGGAGAGGCCAATGGTGGCTGAGGGGAAGAGTTGGTGCAAAAGGCAGTGAAGGACGTAGGCAGGATGAATTAGAGGAGGCTTGAAGAAGCGGGTAAAATCAAAGGTACCTGGAGAAAAGGAAACAGCAAGGAACTAAATTACCACAGTTTTAGCTGAGCCCAAAGGATTCACCTGGGTGAGATGAGGGGACCAAGGCAGGGTGAAGAAATGGATTTATTGGGGCCTTGGTCATGGTGAGAGGATTAGAATGTGCGTTTCCATTGAGTTTTCCTGCTGGTTCTTTGTTGGAGACTGGTAGAGGTGCCCATGGGCAATTTTAGCCAGTCTGACGAGTGGGAAGCAGTACCATAGCTGTGTGCCCAGCCTGGGTTTCCATTATTCCTTATCTGGCTCCAGAGTGGATGAGAAGTAGTGACCTGGGCCTAGAGTGTCCATGTGCAGAGAACTCTGGCCCGTGTTCAGAAGTGACTAAATAGCTCAAGGGAATGCCAGTAGGCAGCCAGGTCTTTTCGTGCTCCTGGTGAGCTAGCTCTAAGAAGCCATTTGAGTGGGACAATTTATCCATGTTTGGCACCTGACGTAGGCCAAGCCACATCATTCCTTTACTGTCAAGCAAATAAAAACTCATTTTGTCAGGGGCTGCCTGTGTTGGAGACTGCTTTGATTCTTTGTCACATTTGGCCCATATCTCTGAGAGAGTCTGACCCCATACCTGAGGCAGGGGCCTTGGGCAGCACCTGTTGATGGGTCAGGGCAGAGTGTTTACTCCTCCTCCTGGTCCTGATGTTAGTGGCTCTGGATGTGCCTCCTGCTCTGCTGAGACCTCTCTTGGGACCTGCAGGGGAGGTGATGGGCACCTCAGGAGTAAGTGAGGCTCATCTTGCTTTCTGCCCCAGCTCAGCTCCTAACCAGCTGTGACAGCCTTAAGTAATTCACTTCTCCAAACTGGGGTGTCCTCCGTGGAATTGGGGAGATGTGTGTGATGGTCAGAAAAATCAGGAAGATGCCCTCTTGCCTTTTCTGCCCCTCCCCTATTCTTACAGGTTTATTTGGGGTGGCAGGAAAGTTAGTTGCATTGTATAACCTTTTTAAACATTGAGATGTTTTCTCCAAGTTCTCTGGGCACTCGTTATTTCTGTGTTTCCTCCCCATTCCTAACCCCCTAAAGATCTTTACATCCCAAAATATTCAGATTGATTTTAACACTTTCTGCTTTGATTTGGGAACTGTATATTCAAATGGATGCAAGCAGGTGACTTTCTAGAAATCAGAGGCCAACTTAAAAGACGAAGGAAAATGAACCAGCCCAACAATAAGACACATGACAACTTCACGTGTCCAATCTGTGACTACTCTGTCACCACAGCCGTGAGAGCGGGACTGCTGCTGGGCTCTCTGGAGGCCGTTGGGCACCTTGCCTCTGTTTTAGGAGTAGAAGGTGTTCCCAAGGAAGGAAAATGGTAGAGACAGCTGCCTCTTCCTGCTGCATCTGGGAGTGGTCAGGCATTCGGAAGCCCTTTCTTGTCTTTAAGGAAAGATATTCGTGGGGACCTTATATTTTGAAAGGGTGCCTGGCTTGCTACATGCAGAGATCCAGTATCAGGTCACGACAGCTGACCTCGGGCTATTTTAAGTGCTGAGTGCACTTGGTTTCTGGACCTTCCCACATAGTTTTGACCTCTGCTATTTTATCTGTTAGGCAATTAAAGGCATCGTGCCTGAGATCTGTAATCTTTTGAAAAACCAATGGAAATGTTTTCAAAAGCAAACAAAAAAACAGGGAAAACAACACTGGCTCCAAATGATGCAAAGAAAAGAGCAAAAATAGTAAAGCATTCTCAAAATGAAACAATTCCCATCTTGTTAGAGTATTAAAAACAATAGAGGTGAGACTTTTTTTCTTCATAAGCATTTCCAAGCCCCCATGATTGCCAAGGAATCATAGTTAATCATCTATTACATGAGTTGCTGGCCAAGCAATTTAAAAGGCAAAGTCATAAAAAGCACTTCAGAACTTTGGGAGATGGCTGCGTTTTAACATGTGTGGTTTAATAATCC